ATATATAGATATATATATATCTATATATAGATATAGATATAGATAGATATATATAATATAAATGAACCAGTGTTTCTCCTCACTCTTTAAAGCGAGTGAAGACTGATGTTCAGAGACACTTAATTCCTTCAGATTGGATGAAAAGCATCTGTGAGCAACAGATTTATACAGATTATTTATTGGATTTAGGACTGAACTTTTACAGCAGTTTTTAATACATGAATATTATTTGATATAATATCTTAAATTTCTTAGCTACTTCAAATAACTCTAGTCTTCAAATGACCGTTGTTGAGACTGTTATTTTAAAATACTATCACACAAAATATTATCACAACATATTTAGTAAAATTGCTTGTTGTAGTGGTGCGTAAACACAACCTTTCCATACTTATGTATCTGAACTGCATAACTGATCTTAGAGTGTGGTTAAATTATGACTTTAATATTTTCATAGATATTAAAACTTTGAAGTTGGAATTTCGTAGTCATCTTAGAAATAACCCAATAAATTCTTCAGAGCACCCCCTATGGCAGCCTTAGTACCAGCCTTGTAAATATCAAATGTTAAGTAGCCTCTTAGAGATTATTTGTCTATGCCCATCCCAAGTTTAGCTATATTCATCTTCCCATCAATTTTGTCCCGGAAGAATAGCATCCCCACAGCATTACACTGCCACTACCAATTCTAATCATGAGGTAGATGTTTTAAGCAGAGCCTGCAAAGCTACTTTCCTGTCAGAAATAGTGCTTTGCCATGTCCTAACCTCAAGGCCATAACCTTCAGTTTTTATGTCCTTTAACATATTTCACATGTCTTGTGGCGAACAAGTATTTTTTCTGGTTTTCGTTCAACATTGGGTTTCTCCTTTTCACGTTGCTAGCAGGCCAGTTATGTGGAGCGCATGTTTACAAGTTGTTTAGACTACATCATTGTTACCTAAGCTGTGATTCTCTGCAGCTCCTCCAGTGTCTCTGATTAATGCTCAGCTTGTCCAGCCTATCAATTTAGGTGGCACTCGTGTCTACATGGACCTGTAGCGCTGCCGCTGTATTTCAAGGTCAGACAAATGATTGAAGAGAGCTCCTTGATACATTTAAAGATTTTTCAACAGTGATGAAAATGTTTTATGTTGCATTTTCATGTCAAACCCCACTTTGGACTTTACCTGTATTTTCTCTTACATTGTCCCTCTTTTAGTCTTCTGTTGATTCATTAATGTTCTCTGGCAAACCTCTGAGAACTTAACAGAGAGATCTTTAGCTGTAAAAAACTGAAAACAAGCAAATTACTTGCTGTAGTGTTGATCTTTCGCCTAAATTCTTGAAAAAATACTTTACACATCTCAAAGGTGACAAAGTGTGGAAATAATTCACAAAGTATAAGACTTTGGCAAAGCACTGCATTTCTCAGAACTGGCTAAAGTTTGTTTAAAGTCCAGTTGAAGGCAGTTATGATATACCTAAAAGCTCAGCGACATTTGCCCCGCATCGGAAATGTCTGTTTTCATCTCCATAGACCTTTAGAACCTGTTAATGACAGGACTGCTTTTTTTTTTCTACCATACAAACATGTGGATAAGAATCTTTTGTGTGCATGAGACAACAGCTGCCAGAGTTATGCAACATGTAAAACATTTTTAAGGACTTTTCTATCCAGGACAAAATAATTCGGATCCTTTTAATAATGCCGCACATTTAAAAGGGAGTTAAAGATAAAAAAAAAAAAAAAAAAAGCAGATGCTCTATCCAGAACTCAGTGTTCCCATCCCTTTAGTTCCCCATCGCCCTGATTGTTTTATCGTGTATGAGTATAAAAAAAAAAAAAAAAAAAAGCAGCTTAGAAATACCTGGACAGTGTTAACTAAATGCTGCTGAGAGAATTTTTAATTACTCACGAATGAAAGATAATAAACCAATCTATTCCACAACATTGGTTAGTTTCAACTCTGACCGACTGGTGCTGCGTTCAAGAGAAAAAACTCAATGACTGTACATAAGAGTGGGAGTGAGCACTTTATGAGTCGTTTTCCGTTTACAAATTATTAACTGGCTGAAAGCACCATTGTGACCTTCGGCAGCCCCTCCCTGTGCTTTTATTACAAGGTGAATCCAGCGGGATTCCTGGCGAACAGCAGGCTGAAGGGATGTGAGTGTAATTCCACACTGCCATGCTGGACAATGCCAGGAGTGTGGCAGCTGACCTGTGCCGCAGTTTCACTGAGAATAGACTCAGATCTGCGTGGTAATTGCGCCCCGATTGGATTCCTTCTCACCTTACTCCTACACAATGCAAGAGTAACCCGAGTGCTGTCTCTTCGCTGTGTTTCTTTGTGGTTAATGGTGTCAGAATGTCCAGTCACTGTCCCAAAGTTAATGAGTCCAAATATGTTACTATTTTTGGTGAGTCTAACTATATTATATAGATCAACTGCTTGATGGAGGCTAAAGATTGGAATACCTTTAGACAGGGGAACAGGTGAAATACAAGATTGTGCATTTTCACAGATTCACACTAAATCTTCCAGTGTTAAAGTAACACTTTAAGTGTTAAAATTAACACCAATCCGAATGGATTTAATCGAACTTTGAGTTAAGTTTTGAATGCTGAATGAAAAATAATATTTGCGAGCAATAGTAGAAAATATGTCAGCTGATTACAGTACTAAGATTAGCTGTAATCCTATTATTAATGTTCCTGACATTATTTTTTAAACAAATTACATGCCCTGAAAAATAATGAAAACGTTTTTGCCATTTACTTGATCATATTTAGTTAGTTTAATAAAATATGATTAAGTAGATCCCAAAAACAGTTGCATTTTTTTTGTTTGTGAAATATCTCAATATAAAAAACACAGACTCCTACAAACTTTTAAAGGACGCTCCTTCCTAATTTAAGCATTTCACGAGTTTTAAATAAATACTTAACCAATCACGGTCACAAGAGGTTATGAACTAATGAATATTCAGATATATTCACTTGTTTCTTCAGAACAAAAATACAGCCAAAAATCATGGATTTGTGGATTGTTTGCTGGAAGTATACAGTATGACGTTATTATAGAGTTCTAGATAATGAAAGTCTATCCATCCGTCTTCTATCTCATCTATCTATGTTCCAAATTCAGCATATTTCATAATTCTTGCCATTAAAATAGTGGAACAAATTCATTGGCAATACAGCACAAAAAGCTTGCGTGCTTGTTAGATCATTGACTGTATAGAATACATGAATGTTTATTTTAAATAGTTTAACAGAAAATATTTTTTTGTGCTTGAGTCAGACAGCAAGCATATAATCTTGAGACTCCGTTTATCCTGAAAGTCAGAACCTCAATCTCAGCTTATCGTTATACTTGCCTCCTGTGCACAAGCTCACTGCATTTAAGAAAGAAATCAGAAGTATTTCTCAGGTTTCGGTTCCCATATATTTACTTAGAAACACATTATGTCAAAAAACTGTAATGAACAAGACCCAGAAGGTCAAAAACTTAAAAAAAAAAAAAAAGCCCAGGTCCAGATGAAACACAAAATAGTTAATGACAATAAGAAAAGATGGAAACAAACCAGTGTTGATGACATGAGGATCTGACCAAGAACTAAATGAAACACTAAGATCATACTTTACTTTTAAAATTTATAAGAAAAGAAAGTCCATGTTGAATAAATACAAGAACAACAGGCAAGACAGCAGCTTTAAAAAAAAATTGTCTCTGTTATCCTTGGATTACAGAACAAAGCAAAACGTCTCGCTTATGTCTAATCAGAAGAGTTACTTGTTCGAGAACTTTAAAATGTGTGATTTAGTATGGTTCATAAACTGATTTTAAAACAAGCTGATAAAATACTTACTTGCAGTAAATTAATTCAAAGAATTAGGGTATATATATATATATATATATATATATATATATATATATATATATATATATATATATATATATATATATATATATATATAATCAGTAGTTTTCAGTTTTTTTCTCTTACTTTAAACTAAAAGCAATGAATGCAAATAATTGAGCAATGTGACTGTCCTGCTCTTATGTTCAGGTTTCTTCAGACGAAGCATAACAAAGAACGCCGTGTACAAATGCAAGAGTGGTGGCAACTGTGAGATGGACATGTACATGCGCAGGAAATGCCAGGAGTGCAGGCTGAGAAAATGCAAAGAGATGGGCATGCTGGCAGAGTGTGAGTATCGCTGCATGTCTGGAGAGTTTCTTTAAGCGTATTTATACATGCAGACGTGGTACTGACTGATGGGAAGAATCCTGAGCTCGTGTCCGAGGCGAATCCTCATTCTCCATTCTGACAGGGTCTATCTGATCATCCTGGGATATTATATGTCTCTTCTATCATACAACACGACCAGCTTTTCTTTTGCTCCTTAGAATAGAAGCAGGCAAACAAAAAGGTTCACACTAGAAGAAGTCACATTAACCAGTGGTCATTAAAGCGGTTGTTCATCTTTCTGCCTGGCAACTGGTATAGTTGCAGAAACCAGTTTTAGTAGATGACAGCACAAAAGCAGTGAAAGATAAACTGGACTCCTGTTGCTCATAAATACTTTAGGACAGCCATGATCAATATTGCAGCATGGAAGGCCTTCGTGATACTATCTGTTCCCACAGTAAGAGCTTAACTAATTAGGCAGGAAAAAAATAAAAAGATTATTTTTTTCTCTCTCTTAAGGTATAATCAGAATTTTATTTATTTATTTAAATATGTGCAAAAATGATTGAATTTAATGGTAAAAATATCGTTAAGTACAGGGATGTTGCATAAATTCCTGCCTTTGCCTTAGATTTTAAGAGGTCGTTTCATTACGGGTCTAATCAAATGTTTTTGTTTTTAGGTTGTAAAAAGCTGCTTTGGATAAAAACCTGTGAGACATTTAACACAGAAACTAAAAAATAAATTGTTGCCAACAGGTTTGCTGACAGAGATCCAGTGTAAATCCAAAAGGCTCCGTAAGAACACCAAGACCTCCCCGGGACGGTCGACTGGAGATGAGACAGAGGGGGCAGAAAACATGGACAACAAGCAGGTCACCTCAACCACCAAACTGTCAAAGGTAAACACGATGCATCATTTCCTTACTGTAGGCAAGGCAGTTTTAGTCAATTAGAGAAATTGTAAAAAATATATAATAATTTTGTATTTGTTTGAAATTAAGGAAAAGGTGGAAATCACTAAAGAGCAAGAAGCACTCATGAAGCTCATTGTAGAAGCTTACAACAAACATCAAATCCCCCAGGATGTTACCAAACAGCTGGTAAGATTTGTTCAGCCTGATAGTGAATTATTAAATTAATATGGAATCCATTAGAAAAAACAATTAATTTATTATTTATTATGCTCTTTCCCCTAGCTACAAGACCAGTACAGTACAGAGGAAAACTTTCTCCTCTTGACTGAAATCGCAACAAGCCAAGTTCAGGTTTTGGTGGAGTTCACGAAGAATATTCCAGGTAATGAAGAAAATGTCTTTTGCTAAAAACACAATTTTACAGTTCTGAGAAAAAGCAGAAATACTTTGTGTTAGGTGCTCATCTATTCTCTAGTTTCTTTGAGTCAGAGTGCTTTCTGGGAATTTTTAACATGGATAAAAAATACCATCATCGTCCCACTGTCATGATCTGTTAGGAATCTGACCCACATGCAGAGTAACCACTCAGAGAACAAGGCAAAGGTTTAACTGGTTTATTGAAGGAGTAAAAGAAGTTGGATCTGGGACTCAGTGAGCCGTGACCCGGAAGTTTGAGGGGGGCCTTGTTAGTCCTTGAATCCAGACTGTGTGGTAATTCCAGAGAAGGGTGCACACATTGGAGGGCGGACAGGTTAGACAAGCGTTGGACCCGGAGGAGTAATGAAGTGGACTGTCACTCGGATTTCCGATGGGTACTTGAACAGAACATGTGGAGGTTTTCCCCTGCTCAGTGTAACTCGGTATTTTCCTTTCAGGGGAGAGAAGGTCCAGGTATCCTGTAACACAGAAAAGCTTCCCAAAACTGGCAAACACTCTGGCTTTGAGGTAGTGACAGTCCACTGCTCAAATACTCCTCCAGAAAACGATCCAACGAGCCGCAGGTGTGAAGGACGGCAAACGAGGACAGGGCACCACCTGATGGTGGAGGGAGTAAAAGCACACAAACAACCACAACAGCAGACCACACAAACTGGATTCCTAACCCCACAGTGGGAAGACTTGGGAAGACAGAAGATACAAGAAATAAAAAAGTAGTATAGTATAAAAGTAGTATAGTATAGTATAAAACAAACAAACAAAAAATCTCATATCCACTATATTCAAGAGACGAGAGAGGGATAGAAAACTGTGCAGCCATTGGTAATACATATTCAGGTTAAGACAAACTTTAGGATTAACAATAATAATGCACCCTATTCTTGTTCAGATCAAGAACCTGTGTAGAAACACTTGGCTCTTGGAAGGCGTGAAGGTTTTAGATAACAGCATCTGAAAGGACGGAGCTGCAGAGATGCTCATTTGTATATTTGGGATGCAATAGTTTGTCACTGAATGAGTTATCCTACTCTGCAATGGATTATGTTTGAGATGGAGTGTTTTTTTCTTTTACCTAACTTTTATTACAGAATTATCTTAAATCTACAGACCTGGCAATGAGGTTCACCCAAGAAAACTGAACTCAGCTGTTAAAAAAACAGAATCAGTCTTATTTTACCATGCTAAAGAGGGTTTTGAGGTGAAGGAGGTTTTTTTTCTGATTTTAAAACATTTAACTCTGACAGAAAAGTGAAAAGGTCGGTATTTGTTTTGTAGGTTTTCTGTCTCTGGATCATGAAGATCAGATCGCTCTGCTGAAGGGTTCAGCTGTGGAAGCCATGTTTCTGCGTTCAGCTCAAGTTTTCAGCAGGAAGATGCCAAAAGGACACACTGAAGTTTTAGAGGAGAGGATACGCAAGAGTGGTGAGTTTACTCACTATAGAATAGGCAAAGCTCAATTCCGTCGAATAAAAAAACCCAACTACTTCTTTTCTATTGTAAAGAGGTTCTGACTCAGTCTAAAGAAGTATTTGACAGCACATTAGTTAAATGGAGCATTTTAAACATTAAACTATTGATTAGCTGATTTAATTTGGGCATGTGGCTTATTCACTTCAAATCAATAATATCACTTCTATTCAGGAGAAAAATGCCTGAAATGTTTAGGAGATTCTTCTCAGATCTTTGAATTGTTTTGGGCTTAACTGTAAAAACAAATATACACAGTAAGTTCTGCTGAATGTCATGAGTTCCTCAGTCTTTTGTTCTGTCAGGTTAAGTCTGGCCTAATCTGGTTGGATTCTTGTTTAATATTTGATCGGTGTGATGCAGTGGAGAGATGTGCACTCACCTACTGATCCCAAACTGGGTGTAGGTTACACGTACATGTACCTTCAGTGGGTTCAGTTTCACTCTGCTCAGGTATGCCTGAGTCGCTTCAGGTGAAGAACAGCCAACCCAGCCTCTTTTTAGCCAACTGGATTAACTTATAACAAGCCACACACTGCCTCTCCATTTATACCAATAGCCTCCTTTTTCTCATCTGCTGGTTTTAAGGAGCATTGATATGTATGTGAAGTGTCAACATGTCAACCACGTTGACAGCAGCCGTGATGGCAGAAGTATTTGTGTTTGTCAGTGAGTCCCTCAGCACTGCTCCTGAGTGAATGGTGGGGATGAGAGATATTCACACTAAAGGCCAGTCAGGGAGAATAAGGCAGCAAGCTGTCTGAAAAGTCTATTGTTTCTTATCACAACATCAAAAGTGCCATTGTGCTCCTCTTTCCCTCAGAGGCCCACTGGCATTTCTGAAAGCTCTATGATGATGATGATGAGGGTGATGATAATGATGTCTCAAGGCAGACAGAGAAACTCAGTTTGCCGGATGAGCCTCAACAGCTTCCAAACATTAAACAGGAAGTTAGTTCAACGCGCTGTTTAGGACGGCAAAGTTTAATGAACCATTTATTTTAAAACCTTTCATCTTCCTTTTTCTCTTTTACTGTTTCTGAGCCGTGCAGTTATAAACTTGCTGATGAGCTTTAAATCATCATCCTGTTAGGAAAATTAAGTATGCTTGAACTTAAGGTCATGATCTGGTGTCTGAGGAATTTTCTTCTCGAATTCTTTCTCTAGAGAATCTGCTCTAGAGGAACCATATCAGCCAGACCATCAAACCCAGATGGTCTGGCTGTTGATTCTTGGCTTGAGCAATCTGTTCTAAGATAGGAAAGGATAAGATAAGATAAGATAAGATAGAATAAGATAAGATAAGATAGATTTTATTGATCTCACAGTGGAGAAATTCACTTGCCACATTGGCTCAATCGTCAAAAGAAGGTGCCAAAAGTTGGAAAAGGTGTATGGGGGCATATATAGTGTGTCCACATATATATAGTGGATCATGAAACAAAGAAGTAAGGCCGAGATTTAAGGTTACTTATTCACATATGTATTTGACGTTGTTCATTAAAGTCGTACCAGGTAAAGAACAACAGTGAGGTAGTGAGATAACTATAACAGCTGAAGTCTGTTATTTAACAGGATTATTGAACGGATTATTGCACAGGGTATTAAATAGTGATTGCACATTAGTGATTGCACAAGTTATTGCAGTTATAGTGCCGTATTGTAAAGTCTTATGGCAGCAGGGAGGAATGACCTGCAGTAGTTCTTCTTTTTACAAACAGGAAGAGCCTTTCACTAAAGGAGCTGCTCAGCTCCTCTTTAGTCTGGTGCAGGTGGTGACAGGTGTTGTCCATGGTGGATGTAAGCTTGGACAACACTAGCTTCATCATATACTGTATTTTCCTTCAGTTTTAAGATCATTCTTCCCTGAATTTTAATTTCTAGTCACGATGGTTACAATGTTTGAATGAAATAGGCTTCTCACTGAGAGGTAGTTTTTGGTAGATAAAGAAACATACAGACTTCTTTCCTGTGTTTTTTTTTTTTTTTGTCATTACACTGTCACAAGTACAGTGCAAGAAAATTCACCTTCTGCATTTAACCCATCCCCTTGGGGAGCAGTCGGCTGCCATTGTGTGTCACCCAGGAAGCAGTGTGGGGTTAAGGGTCTTTGCTCAGGCAGTCTGTGGGAGTGGGGCTCAAACTCAGAACCTCTGGATTCCAAGCGCAATGCCCTAACCACTAGTCCACCAATCTCCCCCTTCTTACTTTCATTTAACTTATGCACTTATGTTGCAAAGATTATCTTTAACACCTTCCTGTTAAAATAGTATTTTTAATCAAGAAAACAATCCAATCTGTGGTTCCTGTGTTGGAAATCTGTCTGTGTAATACAGTATGTAGTACATTATCATCAGTTTACATAAGTTACATTTCTGGCTTAGAAAGTCGGAGTCAAAGTCCTATTTTCTGCTTTAAAGGTATTTTAAAAGGAGGATTAGGATGTTCTATTAGTCTCTCCAAGCAAATGTATATTGTTCAGAATTGACCCTTAAATGTAACATTTGTTCCTGTGCTTTTGTATGAAGTTGATCATCTGTTTAGATTAAACTGTTGTTTAATTTATGCATATATTAAATGTAGTAAATTAGTAAGTTAAGGAAATACTTGAATGCTTAACATTTAAAAAACACACTTTTCAATCATTGATTGGTAAAAATTTACATTAAAAATATTTGTTTTTGCAGGTATATCAGAAGAATTCATCACACCCTTGTTTAATTTTTACAAAAGTGTTGGTGAACTCCACATGGTTCTGGAGGAACAGGCTCTCCTCACCGCAATAACTATCCTCACACCAGGTGAGGGATCTTTTCTTGTGAGGCATGTTTGCATTTTGATATCTACACTTCTTTAAAGCTCTTGGTACAATCAGAGTTCACTGTATTCCCCTCCAGACCGGCCGTATGTGAAGGACCAGCAGGCAGTGGAGCGACTGCAGGAGCCCATGGTGAATCTGCTGAAGAAGCTGTGTGTCCTGCAGCATCCACAGGAGCCCCAGTACTTTGCCCGCCTCCTCGGCCGACTGACAGAGCTGCGGACACTCAACCACTACCACGCAGAAATGCTCACTTCCTGGAGAGTAAATGACCACAAATTCACCCCACTGCTCTGTGAAATCTGGGATGTGCAGTGACGCACTGTGCAGTGAAGGAGTCTGGGAAGAAGAAACGGACATTCCAGCTCTAAGGCTTCATCGAGCCACTTCATACTGGGGGATTTAGTTCCTAAACAGCCATATTGCTTTGCTTGTGCATGACTTTATGCAAAACATATGGTAATATTTGTATGTTATAAACGATTTTTTTCATGTTCAACTTGTATTATTATCATTTGGCTTAAAAGCTGAAATTTAAAATACCCTTTTCTCTTTTTTCAGATTATTTTATGAAACAAATTGATGAGTCAAAGCAGTTCAAACACTGGAAATTGTAAAAAAAAAAAAAAAAAAAAAGCATGTTGCAAGAGATTAGTTTCATGATGGCCTCATTTTTATTTTATACTTAGAAATGTATATTTTATGTATCCGCCTCAATAATTGACGTTTAGAGAGAAGAGTGTATTTATGGCCTTTGTCATACAGTACGACAGGACACATTAATAACAGCAATTATACAGAAACATACCCTTTTTCATGTGGTATATGTGGAACTTTAAAATGTAATTGGATTAGGTTAGAATAATCCTTTTGAACCATAATCAACTGCTGAATTATTTATTTCCTTTATGAAATAAATCCTTTATTTAATCTTTGAGAACGTATTATCTCTTATTTATGGTTGTAGTTAACATGGTAACAGCAAGAACACTCTTGTGAAAGGAAAACACCATCCATCCATCCATCCATCCATCCATCCATCCATCCATCCATCCATCCATCCATCCATCCATCCATCCATCCATACATCCATCCATCCATCCATCCATCCATCCATCCATCCATCCATCCATACATCCATCCATCCATCCATCCATCCATCCATCCATCCATCCATCCGGTTGTATCGTTGCCTATCTCCAGAGTCTAAATGTGAGAGGCAGGAAAACACCATAGCAGACAATTTTTTAATTGCCAATAAAAATGATATAATATAACCTTTGAACACTTTTCAACCTTTTTTTTTTTATTCCTTTTTTTACCTACTTTCTTTTTTACTTGTATCACTTTAGGCTTGTTTTCAATATACTACATTGAACATTTATCCCTTGCAATATAAATAACCTGAATTGAACAAGCAGTCTTCTGTAGGCTGAGTATTTTGCCACTGCTGGTGTATTATTTATAGCTGGTGTTTTAGATGTAAATGTTGCTCGCTTTGAATTACAGACTACTCCAATCCAGATGAACTACCTTACAGAGACAAAAAGCTTACACCAAGAAATTAGCGAAGGAGCAGAATCTGACAATGTTCAGCCCTTTAAGCTCCGAATGATGACCAGCCTAAAATAACCTATATAGAGGAGAAAAAAAATCTTTTTTAATAATGCAGTGTTAGTAACGCAGCAATTTCGTTTCTACGTTTAGCAATTGCTGAGCCCATACTGACAGCTTAGGAAAGGTGATTATAAAAAGTGACTTCTTCTCTGTTGTTTGAGATCCTCAGAGGCTGATGTACAAGTACCAATTATTTTAGTTTGTGAGCACCAAATGCTGCCATGTGCCCCCACATCATCCTGAACCAATTCCAGGTGTTTTAGTCCTTGCCCAATAGTAAATACAAGCTTAGATTTGGTTAGACTGCAAATAGATCACACATCCATGAAAATGCTTGTTAATCTAGAGTTCCCTCACATTAAGATGTCTTGCGCACATTAAGATGTCTTGATATTCTCAGTAAATAGATTAGCTGTTATGTAGAGTAATGCCACTGCACCTCCTGAAGGATTTTTGGCCTCTGGCCATTCTAAAGCCTTCACAGTCTTCCAGGACTAAGCTGTATTTAACTCCATCATCTTTGCATTAACTCTGATCACCCTCTCTGCCCCAAACTAAAAAACAAAAGCATTTTTTATTTTTTCATCTATTTTAACAAAACCAAATGAGGCTATTACAGATCACGGCACTGTTTGCTGCAGTGGATTTTGTTAAGGCATATTCCACCTAACAGTGAAAACCACGCACTGTTTTTTTCCTAATTCAAAATCATAAGCTCCTTTTTCAATTAACTCAGAGGTAAAAGGCTTTTAATTTTTAAGGTGTATCAAAAATATACATACATTTGCAAGCCCGTAATTTTAAGCATTTGACCACTTTTTATTTTAAGGGGCTGTTTGGGTGTTTGTTCATACAAAACACATAAAGAGACCACAATATGAACATGGTGTGATTGCAGTTTTACCTAAATAAACATCTTTACAGTCTTATTTTGACCACACAATTATCACTTTTACATTAACAAAAAGCAGTTGTATGAGTTATAAATGCACAAATATAGGTATATAGGAACATATTGGGTATTTTAACTGGCAGAAGCTGCCGGGGTAATCCTGTCTTCTAGCACCATCTGGTGGAATAAACCACAAAAAAACTCCACAAACTCATCTTAGACACTACATTTCAAAGAGTATTTGTTCACTCATACAAATAATTTAAATCAGGTGTAGCAACCACTTCATGGTCCTTGGTGTGCAGCATCTACAAACATTTATGTCAGAATAGTCGCTCTAAGTGATTGAATTTCAGTGTCGAATGTAATTCGCTTTTTAATATTCCAACATCAGCTCTCAGTGATGCAACAAAATGGAAGCAATTGGGAATGACAGTAACTCATCCACCAAGTCATAGGCCACATCAACTGGCAGGAAAAAAAGGAATGCTGGTGTGCATGGTGCACAGAGGTCCTCCAGCCTCAATGTGGCCGTCAGATTAGCTCAGGAACAGTGAGGAGAGCTTTGAGGTATGGGTATTCTGCAATATAAAGCGTCAGATGCAAAGCAAACCTTTGCTTGATTTATTGATTGATGGAGGCTCTTAATCTGAAATGATAAGAAGCGCATCTCTTTCTGGCAAATTAAAGTATGAGTTTCTGGGGATATTTTTGTAAGGTTGTTTTTCAGGAGCTAGATTTAGCCCCTAAGCTCTAGTGATATAAATCAATTCCATCCTCCAGGCTTTGGACTTTGGTAGAACAATTTAAAGATGGACCATTCCTCTTTATTGTGCCGCAGTACACTAGGCAAGGTACATAAAGAAATGCATAGGAGAGTGTGGTACGGATGAGATTACGGTAAATGGCCTGCTCAGAGTCCTGGCCTCAACCAAAGAGAACAGCTTTGGGGTGATTTAGAGTGGAGACAGAGCCAGGCCTTTGTGCTTCTGGAAGAATTGCCATAGAAATGACATTATAACACTCCTTAAGCCTTATGCACAACTTTTCCAGAAGAGTTTAAACTAACCATAGCTGCTAAGGGTGAACCAATATTGTATTGAACTCTTTGGATTAAGAATTTGATGTCAAATAAGCTCAAATGTGAGTCAATGAAGCAGAGATAAAGCTTTTGGCAATATAGTTAGTGTTTCCATTTAACTTACATATTTAACCTACAGAACTAGTTAGTAACTACAGACAGCATTATTGACAGCTTATTATAGGTGGGATCTGTCCAGGTTGTTTGGGGTTATTTCTGCAGTGGGGTAGACCAGGAAGCCAGAGAATGTGGTGTACCTTCCCTGGTTGCTGTAAACAGCGTAGCGTTTGTCCTGCTGACTGTACAGCCATACTGTTTCCCCCCTGTCAAGTTGCAGCATTAAGCTCTGGCTCTGCATCTCTCTTCTCTTTGACGTGTCTTCGTCAAACACCATCGCCTGGACCTGCCCGCTCCCGGTCATCAGCTTTACAGAGACAGCCTTACGAGGGTGTTTCCCCACTGTGAAAGCAAAAAAATACACTCCAGGGAAGTAACAGGTGAAAAGACCTGAAGTTTTGTTGAAGTGGCCCCCTATGTTGACAAATTCCACATCAAAAGTGAGGGGAAGTTTGTTTTGGTGCCCGCCACTCTGACCCACAAACGTTGATGTGCGAGCCACTGAGAAGGCTGAGCGTTGTTGCTCAACAGCCGGATCTCTGCTCCGGGGGTCAGCCTGAGGTGGGCAGTTGAGGTGAGACAGAGCTGGAGAGGAAAGGTGGTTGCTGATATAACTGATCAGCTGAAGCTTTGGGTAAACCAGATAACCAGAGAAGGTGATGTAAGGACCAGCAGTGCTGTACACCGCATACTGGGGACTCTGCTGTAGAAGCAACCACACAGTGTCCATTTGCTTCAAACTGATCATCACACTCTGGCTTTGGACTTTCCTGCCTATCCTGCGGTAGTCATCATAGGCCATGGCTTGCACCTCCTCCCCATTCTTCACCAGGATGACAGAGAGCAGTTTTCCAGGGAACTTCCCCACAGAAAAAGAAAAATAATAAGCCCCAGGGATGCGACAGCGGAAGTGGCCGGTATCTGGATTAAAGTCCCTTCCTGTGTTGACCATAAGCTTGTTGAAAGTCACTGCTTTCTGCTTGCCTCCCACAACGCTGCTGGTCTGAGCGGCCGAGAAGGCGGAGCCCAGGCCCGTCGTCAAAGCAGGCCCATAAAGAGATGAAGCTCCTCCAATGATCAGGATAAGAATGAGGAAACATCCCAAGTGTAAGTGTGACCTCCAGGAAGCTAAAAAAAAAAAGAAAAAAAAAAAAAAAGAACAGGATTTAATAAAATTAGACAATAGAAAACACCAGGATAAAAAGGTCTAACTGGTGAAAAATATCAAGCAATTAATGATGTTTTGAAGTTTTTTTGTACAACATAAAATCTTTTTTGTATAAAAATGGGTATTTCTTGGAACCAGAAATTTGCTTCCCCACTTCTGGGTGTACTGTGAGCTGTTATACCATTACCTTCGACTGGCCACACGGCTCATCTCCTGTATTAAAACATTATAAGGAAGTCTGGCCACACTGTTGACATTAAATCAGAGTGCTCAATGTGAGCAGTAGCGCCTGTAATGTGGCTAACGTTTCTGTTTTCCTTGTGCACCGGGAAAAAAAGGCCTGCATTAGGTGCTGGTCCATCTGTTGCTGTGTGTGCAGAACAATGGAGAATTTCAAAGGCTTTACAAAGTTGTCGCAAAATATGTATAGACAGAATCATAAATGCAATGGACACAATAGTATCATCTAATTGTGTAGAGTGCATGAAAATACACACAGCTGTACTTTAATGTCTGAGTTGAAAATAAAAGAGTTTTGACATTTTGTACTCTGCTGTTCTTCCTCATCTTTTGCAGAAAGAAAGAAAAATTCTTAATTTCCTTCCAGCATTTCAACTTCACAGTGTTCCACAATGTGCCTAAAATGTTCATTTAAAGTTTGTTCTTTAGAACACTGTTCTTTAAAGGCAAATTACTAAAAGGTCATAATATTTTTGTAGTGAAGACTGCCTAAACAAAATCTGAATGAAGATAAAGACCAAAAATAAGAGCGTTGTAAGGTACCATATAACCATCGCACATATGCATTTCACTCTGTTTCTGCACTAAAAATCCAGGGCGCTAATGTAAAAAAGCCTTTCAGTCTAAGACCTTTTAATCTTTTAGTGTAATCTATGAATATTTTTAACTTAAAAATATTAACACATTGTGTATTAACACACACAGAGCTCCTTGAAATATAATAAAAATAGAAGGCAGAAACATATTTTTTTACAATAAACCTAAAGTATTTGATAAAAATAACATAAACTAAGACAATAAAATATATTTTACTTATTTCCCTTTTCTTTTAAAGATAATTCTTATAAAAAGTAGATATATATGATTATATAACCAACTGAAGATCGAACAAAAGCATTAAACCCACCTGCTGAGGTAAGTTGGCACAGACTTGACATGGCGGACTAAATCTTAGTCAGATTTGTTTGAGCTGCTGCGTATCCTGCTCTGTTAATGTAACTGACATCCAGTGGACAAAGATTTTGTCTAGGCAGAAATGTTTGGAGGAGGAGCTCCAATCCTCCCTCTGATTTATTGCTACTATGCTCTGTCATAAAATAGTAGCAGCTGAGCTCTGCAGACTTGTTTGCTTGTAGAATTGTTAGGTCTAACGTATCATTGTTTGGTCTACCGCATGTGTTAAACAAGACTGAAAATCTTACATTCCCTGGAAAAACAAAACAAACAACAAAACATCACTAGAATGTTTGAACAGAAAATGATTGAAAGTACTATTATATCAGTAAAATAAGGTTACGTTTTGTTAATTGCAATAAAGAAAAGGCTCTTCAGATATGGCGAAATTATATACTAAAACAAAATGTTGCTATAAAAAAAGGTTGTTTTCATGGGGGCACAGAAAGGCATCAAACAAAAAAACAGGGCAAGGGATTTGAATATATTAAGAGAGCTGCAAGTAAAATTTCCATTTAGTTAGGTTTAATCAAAATTCTATGTCTTCCAACCGAAAAAAGTATTTTTGGCTGGAAAATGTTCCTTTGGATTATCGTTAAAATCAAAATAAAAATCCCTTAGCATAGCGAGAAAAAAAACCCTCTAAAAGTTAAATAAAGCTATTATTTTGAATATTAGGTCTATACATTCATAATTTAGGAATTTTACATATTTTTGACTTAATTTAAGGCAAAATTGCTATTTTCAATAAAATCAGAATTAGAACTCAAGAAAAAACGATAATTTCAACTGTAAAAAGTTTGAGAATTTGAGTATTTTTTTAAATTTGTTTCGAAAAAAACCCCACATCAGATGAAAACTTGGATGCTATCTGAATACCACTGAATGAAGCTATCACCCTATTATTTTTTAAAGAATAAGTAAAACAGATTTATTTTTAAAGAAAAACAATGAAATAGATCCAAAGGATCTATCAGTAACCATGTCTCTTCCAGCTCATATCATCATTAGAACTTTTAGTATTTTGTCTTCAGTACAGGGGCCAAAACAGGGGAACCCTGCCCCCCGTTGCCCCCTGTCTAGAACCGCCCATGAGGCCAAACATATGTATACATTATTAAACATTAATCTGTTGGAATTAGTTAAAAACTTGACTGAATTGAACGTCTTCCGAATTAAAATGACACATTAAAGTTTTATTATTTATTTAATTTTTTTTACATGCATTCATGGTTTATGTTACTTTTGTTGGGGAACGTTTCAATTTTGGTATCTTTTTTTTCTTAAGTTCTATTTTCATAAATCCAAAAAAACACTTTCACAAAAGCAGAAACGAACAATTGAACATATGTCATCCATAAAAGTTTTCTTTCAGAAAAAGAACCATAAAACTAAAGAATGGGAAAGAAATGTTAAATTAAATTTAAAAAAAACACACAAACAGGGGTTTAGCTAAAGTATACTGCTATCAAGTCTGAAAAATGTAAGGCCTTCTTGTTCTCCAGTAACTTAATCGAGGCATGAAAACTTTTATTATCTACCTTTATTCGTTATACAGCGCCTCTATTTGACGTACCAGCTCTTTTGCTTTCGGCGTCATCACGCAAGAACCCGGAAGTGGTTTGTTTGCTGTCAATGCCAACCAAAGAGGGAAGGAGGTACTGAGAGCTAGAAACCCATATTTAAGACGAAATGGCAGGACTGCCCCGCAGGATTATTAAGGTACTTATTTGCAATAAAAAAAAAAAAAAAACATGTTTTACAGTTATACATAAAAAGTAATTCATAATCAAATCTCGTTTTTATTTTGCTCGCGGCACAGTTTCGTGTTCAACCGTTAGCATAAATTAAGCTAGTGTTGCTGTGATAAACTTCCGTTTCTTTTCTGTGCCCAGATACAGCGATTCACACAGCATTTAGAGGCTGAAAATATGAGTGACCAGTATGTCATAGGCCTGACTCTATCTGTCTACGTTAATTTTTCAAACCCGTTCTCGTTTCCAGATGTATTTTTGTATTTGACAGGATCACTGAATAAACCTGCTAGCTAACTAGCTGATTGATAGCTTCTTAGCGAAAGCAGCGGATTCATTATTCATTCATTATCCTTATTATGACTGAAAAAATGAACTATGTATATGAGCAACCGTTTTATCAAGTATGTAATGCAGTAATTTGTTGTAAACTTTATAGCTGTTCATTTAATTACAAACGAACGTCTCACATTTTAGCGTTACGATCGTATTTCTATCAAATGGAAACCTGGAAACATAATAAATCTTAGAAAAGTACAGGATTTTGATGTTGTCCTGGACTGGATAAGGCTTGAGAAAATGTGTAAATGCAAACTTAATCCTGTCTCACGTTTGCTTTTTAATAAACTCAGATGATCAAGAAAATGTCTTGTTTTTCCTGATGGAGTTGAATTAAATTTAAAATTTTCTCTTCCATTAATTAACAATCATGCATTTACTTAAACTTTGGACACATTTATCCAAAGTGCAAATTTTATTAATCTATAGTGATGTATTGTTAAAATTTCAAAACATAAGAAGCTTGGCGACGTTTCTTTTGGTCTACCTTCTTCAAACTATTAAAGTTGTGTTAAAGAACAGATTAATTATACTCAATGTGAAATATGTCTGCTTTAAATGTAAGGAATTATATTTAAAATTTAATAATATTGCAATTTTAGCCTGTTGGATGGAGTCTCTTAGCAGTAGATAATCACACGACATAGATGACAGTGCCCAAAATACATAAAGATTACAGAGAAAACTAGAAGCACTGATTAGAGGAACATAAAATTGTATTAATGGGAACTGATGTAATTGCCATAACTGCCTATTATTATATCACCTTTATAAGATTTTCTATCAACATGGCAGCTAAGGCTTTGTTAAAAAACTGGATTTTCCAATTCGGAATCAATTCTCATGTTAATTCCTTAAGATTGATAAATAAGTAAAAATCAAGTTTGAATGTAAAAACATTTTCCAATGTCCTTACAGCTGTTAACTATGTATCAATCTCCTGTTAAATGTTGATATAATACTATTAATGCTAGATGATATGGCTAGAAAAAGATAATCTCAGATTATTTTTCTTTACATTTCATAATAAAAATGAGAAATGACGCTCTTTTACTTTCACAAATAAGCTTTTATTTCAATCATCTGTACTGGGAGGTGGCCTTTATTTAAATGACAACTTAATTTAAACACATGCTGTAAGACAATCATGTTTCACAACAAACAATAAAAAATAACACACACTAAGTGTTTGCAGCTGGTGGTATGGCGCAGTTAAATAGTCATAAGTACACATAACAAAAAGGGCTGAACTGATGTCAGTCTGAGCTATTGAAGGATAAGGATTGGATTGGAGAAAAAAAATCACGGTTTTCTAAAAATTAAATCTTTATAGACAATAAGTTTGTTTAATTGTTCAGACCAATTAATCACCCAGCCCTAATTACTACTATCAATATTTTTTATAACTACATAGTCACAAAATTCAGGAAACATTGAAAGAAATGTTTTGATACCATTTTTGACACATTATATGTTGCTATAATGTGATTCATTATTCAAGTTGCCTATAAGTACATTTTTTATGAACCAAATATGTTGTTTATTTGATTCTCTATTTCTCATGTAAAAATGTGTCATTAAAACGTTTTTTTTTTACCATTTAGCTATTACTTTTTTGTTTGTTGAACCCATATTTCTTTTCCAAATAAAAGTAATTTAATAGTGAGCCAGGGGTTTTTGTGATAAGCAAAAATTTTAGAGGTGCGTAAAGAAGCAAATTGGCTGCCTAAAGTTGGTGGGAAAAGGCAGAAGGGCTGGGAACGGTACTCACTGGCCCGAGCCCTTGAGCCCCCCGAGCCGTGTGACTGGGGCAGGGTGCCTCTCTTCTGTCTGTGTTTTCACTGCATGGTTTTGTCTGTGGGTTATCTGAAACATTTCAGGAATCTCACTCACACAGAGGAAAAAAGATGGGGAAAACAGGAGTTGCAAGTGGCTGTGACTTTATTGGCTGATAATTTTATCCATTATATTTTGCCCCTTTCATTCTAGTTAAACTTGCGTTTCAGACAGCTACAATGGTTGGTGATTTTTTTTTTTGTATGGAAACACCAGAGGATTCACTAATGAACAATACATTACAGAGAGTTTTCATTCCTGATGCAAAGCAAATTTAGAGGTCAATTCAGTGGTGCCTCTAAGTTATGGCAACACACATGGGTGTAAAGAAAAGAGCATCTATGATTGTTTGAAACTTTTAAGAAAATGAAGACGGATATGCAGATTTTGTTGCATTGGCTTCCTGACAGTTTTACAGTTTGGTGCGAAAGTAATCATGCGCAGCCTCTCTTTTCTAACATCTCGTTTCACTTTTTTGCTTGATCACCGTTAAATAATTAGCTCATTTATAATCTGCCTAAAGCAAAACTATTACAACTAAACACAAAAATATGGCGAGCAAAGCGGTAATTTTTAGCCATAATGTGGGGTTTATTCAATAATACTGCAGTGCTGTTATCCTCCCATCATGTAGCTGTATGTGAATGTATGTCTGTTTTGTTTTCATCACCAGGAAACCCAGCGCTTGCTTGCAGAGCCTGTACCAGGCATCAAGGCTGAGCCAGATGAAGGCAATGCGCGCTACTTTCATGTAGTCATTGCTGGACCTCAGGACTCACCGTTCGAGGGAGGCACCTTTAAGCTTGAACTGTTTTTACCTGAAGAATACCCCATGGCAGCTCCTAAAGTACGCTTCATGACAAAAATATATCATCCCAATGTGGATAAGTTGGGAAGAATATGTCTGGACATTTTGAAAGGTGGGCTGGCCACATTTGAACAAATCAATTCCTCTTGCTTAAAGTGTTTGTCATTCTCACTGCAGCCAAGACTTTCAAGTCAACTCCTTTTTTACTGGAAAGGTGATGATATTTATCATTTTCACTGGTCTTTGATCCAATTTTCAGATAAATGGTCCCCAGCTCTGCAGATTCGAACAGTGCTGCTATCGATCCAGGCTTTGCTAAGTGCACCCAATCCTGATGATCCCCTAGCAAATGATGTTGCGGAGAAGTGGAAGTCCAATGAAGCTGAAGCCATAGAGACAGGTGAGAGAACCGGAGATGGTTTTGCCTTTTGTTTAACAAAAAAACAAAAAAAAGATAAAGCTAGACAGTGAAAAAATTATTTAAAACATAAGTAATAATTCCTTTATTGTCCTGCAGTGGGGGGAATTTGGATGTGACGTGGCATACATAGACATTACACACAATTATTAGCAATTAAAAAGGAAGAAAACAAAGTACAAAGACTAGTTTGATCTCAAACTGTAAATTAATATTCCACCTAGCTTATGGATCAGGTACTTAGAAAAGACCACTATCTCCACATCAGTTCCCTAAATGTTCACCTGTGTTGGTAAAGTGGGCGTGTGAAAGTCCCTCACCGGTTCATTTGTTTGTCGCTGCAATTAACATGAGAAGCTTCTGTTGACACCATCCTTTAAATCTCCTGATCTGCTGTCTGAACCCCGATCAGTGAGTTTATCCAATAAACATAAATGGGATTTTTTCACTGTTTACTACGAAACCTTTGAGACCTTTACAGGACAGATTTATACTGATATGACATTTTTAAGTAAATTTAGGTTTTCAAATAAAGTAACTTTTAAAAGCTAGTTTACTATATTCTAATCAGGGATAATTGACTAGTCTGCACTAAATACAAACAAAGATATCTCTTCAGATTTGTTTTTCATTTGCTTTGTAGTTCTATCATATGCAATGTAAATGAAATATATTGCAGTCTGATAAGATATATAAAAGTTTGAGTAGTAGAACCATTTTTTTTATATAAACCTTTCTAGATGTATTTTTGTTGCTTTCTATTCAAAATACTTGAGGAGAACTTACTGTCTGATGAATAACGTTGTTCAATTCTAATTCATACTTGGTGTTTTTCTCTTTACAGCAAAGACATGGACCAGGCTTTATGCTGGAAACAAAAATGAAGTGTAAAGTAACCTCACTGGAGACAAAAGTGAAAGTCAAGTGAACACAAATGTATGTGCTGCCAAGACCCGCTCTGGCTCCATTTGTATTTAAAGGACACAGTCTTTTATTTTTTATATATAAATATGTCTGTGAAAACAACTGCTGATATTCTGTGATCTCAATGCACACTAGTGCTGAATGACTCGTCTATGTCTAACTCACTACTATTCAAATGCATGGGCAGAGGATTTAGATCTACTCACCTGGCTTTCTTTGTCCGAACATGGGAGCCTTAACATTTCTTAGGGCGTTTGGCTGTGGTGGGGTTGAGAGGTTGGCTAGATGTGGAAGATGATGTTCCTTTTTTTTAATGTTTCTTTTAATTTTATTGTGTCGATCTTTGTTTAATAAAAGCATCTAACTACAACTAAAAGCCCTCTGTATACACTCGCGTAGAGGAATTTATCCTGTGTAGATCTCTGTTTCATTAGCTGCACTGTAATGGAACTAAAAACTGAGCCTGCCACTGTCATTTAAACGTCTCTGTGTTAACTTGGATGTACTGTAAGCCTCTGGATGGTGAGAAGTAGCGATGGAGAGTATGGACCTTTCCTTATTTTTCATACATAGAGTTATGACAGATTTTTTTTTCTATTAAATTGTCCCACTCTGCCTCTACTCACTACTCTTGTGCTTTTTCTTCCATTGTGGCTCTACGAGGCTCAGTTGTTTGCCTGCTCCCATCCCATATTTATTTCACAAAGGGGTGGTTCCATTGAGCCATGAGATGTCCTGTGATTTGATGGGAGGAGAAGCTTCCTGGGTGGCATTGAGATGATGTATTGTCCATGGATCAAACTCCAAACAGATCAGCGACGGCTCTGAGTCCAAACTGCTGTGATCGGTCTCTGTTCAGTTCAAAGTGTAAATTCTTTATAACTCTGAAGAGGCAGTTTGCTGCTCAAAATGCTACGAAAACGTTCACCTGCATAGTTTTATGTTCTGTAAATAAACTGTTGATTAAAAAAAGAGACCTTTGTGATTCTTAAAGGGACATAATTTCACACCTGAATTTGGGTTTTCTAACCTCTTACACCCTAAGGGCGTATAAATAAATTTCTGCCTGACAAAAACACACAAAAGTAAATCACTTATAGCCTCACAGGTATTAGATTTAAGAAGAAACTTTTGGTACGTCTGTAAAGGTAAGATGTCATAGAATGGTTTTCTGGTGTCAGCACCATTGTAGCTTTGACCCTGCCTGAAATATTAGGGACAAAATACAAAATATTTTGCATTTTTTGAACCTCGCCAAAATTTTCTTTGAAATAAACATTGCAACACACTACCAAAATATTATTTATAGCACAAAAAAGTAGTACAGACTTTTAAATCTAAATGTGTAAAAATATACCAAATTTGGACTCAATCAGATGAATCATATTTATTTTAGAATGGTATTAGTGAGAAATTTCTTAGGCGGAGAGGCCATTTTGGCACATTTATCCAAAAATGTCACCAAACTGCCAAATGTGTTTTTTACATCAATACTGGGGGTTTGTTAAAATTACGAGGTCACGTAGCAGCTGGACCCACCTGTGGGTCCGTAGGGTTCTAGGGGCTAAGGTACACTACATTTAAAATGGTCAAAAGAAATCTGAATTAAAAAGATGGAAATTATTTCCATTATTTTAGAATGTTCTGGTTCTGATTCTGGCAACTCCTGTTAGAAACCCAACATATTACAGCATGGTGCTGATTGTTTAATGTTAGTGTGTAAACACTGTCCTCTACCACTAGAGCGAGTCACTGAACTGTGACTTGCTAACATCCCTGCTTTAAACCAATAGAGGGACTTGGTTTCTTTTTTGGAATACCAGAAATCATGTTCATGTGTGAAAGTGAGTTTTTTTGTTTGTTTGTTTTATACAACATTTGACAGATAATAGAAAAAAAAGAAGCTTTGACTATAATAACTTAGGTGTTTTTGTTTTTGGTCTAATTATAAACTATGTTAAAAATGATTTAGGAAAGTCTTAAAACTGAAAACTTGCAGAAATACTTGACTATTTATGGTGTGCAAAAGGTTAATAAAATGTGTTCTGAGTCATTTTTTGTGCATGGTAAAGATCTTTTATCCATAACTGATAGAAATTAACTTATGAGCAGGTTTTGATCCATTTTGACATCTGTCCGTTCTTATGAACAAATTAATCCTCCATTTTTCAGCATATATTTTCAAAAAGTGAAATTCTGAAACATTTTAAGAATTGTGTTAACTTCACTTAGTTTACATCTAATGAAACCTCCTGTTCTATGTATATGAAAATCATATCAAATATCTAAAAATATTTGACATAATGAAATGTGTAGAATAATGGAATACAGGTTATATAGGAAAGTTAATAGAATGGAAATTAACATTGCTTTTTGTGGAGGAAGAACACTAAAAATATAAAAAGCATTTGTTATTACATGTGCTGAGATACTTGTATTATTTGCAAGGGGAAAGTGTTAGAGAGCCTTGTTAATGATGTTAGCTTAAGACATGTTAAGGTCTACTACACTATAAATTTACAACAGTTAAATTGTCAGTTGTCCAGCTGATAGTCTTGGATGCCCTTCCTACACTCCTAAATAAATTTTCTTTATTAAAACATGCTTCATCCATCCAGTCTTTTGGGTCCCTATTTTGTTCAAATGCACCACAATTGAGTAAATAAATAATTTATAATTGATAAAGAATTAAATAAACTGATGCATTTACAAATAACTTGCGTAATTGATTATTTAATTGTGATAAAAAGACTTAAATAATGTTCTTAGTTTACTTTTTGCATATATGGCTTGTCAAACCCTAACATCTAATTGGTTAGCGTGCATAGCTGCTCAACTATTGACCAATCAGATTATCTATAGCAGATTGATAATAGTGACTTTTACAGGCTAATATACAGAATGCATGTAGGGGAGTTGTATATATTAGCCTGTAAATTCATTAGTTCGGATCTCCTATAGCCAATCTGACTGGTCAATAGTTCAGCAGCTGCATACGCTGACCAATCGGAAGAATGAAAAAAATGTTTTTAATATTGTTATTTAAAGGTATAGTGGAGGATTTTTGTGATTTTTTTTTAAAACCCACCCTATTCACTTTTTAAAAAAGCACATGCACAACCCTGTACCAACTCCAGAGAGGGAACGCTTATTAAACGTGTGCGAGAGCATGCACAAGCCCATTTGTCCTCATGCACACAAGTTACTAATTGCATCACTCATACAAGCTTTCTTTCCAAAAGAAGATTTGCAATTTTTCGACTATGTCAGACTCACCATCAGTAAGTGAAAAATGGGGACGAGCGCATAGGACCGCCTTACATAAACATATCACAATAATGATTGACATTTAGGAGGACCGCTTATTTTGATGATCCACCCAGAAAAAGAACATCCTCCACTGTACCTTTAAGTCTTTTAATCGCATAATTAAATAATCAATTACGTGAGTTATTATTTGTAGGTGCATCACTTTGTTTAATTCTTTATCAATTATAAATTATTAAATTAACCAATTGGGGACATCTGGCCACAATGGAGATCCAAAAGACTGGATGGATGAAGCGTATTTTTAAAAAAAGATTGAATTTAGGACTTAAGAACCGAGCACCGACGAAATTAGTAGCGCTTAGTGACAGAAATTGTGTCATCACTTTTTTATTATTTTGTAATATAACTTCAGGGTGTTTGACCATCCAATCATAGACCTAATTCAGTGGCACATCAGATGTCTGTAAAGTGAGCTTCTCAGCAGTGATAGCCAATCATACAAGGAAAGACTGAGGGCCACTCAGGAGCTTGTGGACGGTCTAAACTCAGGGAAGCAGGCTTCAACTTGAGCTGCGCTTTTCCGCTTGGCCCTAGTGCAGAGGCGTAGCCAGAACATTTTTATAAGGGTGGCCAGGCAATAACCAATGTACACTGAGGGGTGGCCAAAAGCGGATAGGCGCCAGAACCTCAGGGTCAATACACTACACTGTTCCAACAGGAGATTTAATGAGCAAAACATCCATATTTTCTAAATGAAGACAAACTATACCTTCCTACAGCCTTTGCTAACAAGTAGACTCATATATTTAAACTCCGTGTTTTCTAAATAAAAGGTATAGAGGACAAAAGTCTTTCAGTTTTGAGATCTGGGGCATAAATCTTTTCCTTCGTCATTACTTACCTACTTGTATAGATAAACATTCTACATAAAATTGATATTTACAAGAACTAATATCTACATAAATTGAATATTTGATACGTTTTTATTAAAATTATTATTTATCTAGTATTTCACTGAAGACTCCCAGATGACTTGCAGAGACACATTTTCTCTTTACCCATTATAACACAAAATCTAGGTCTGTAAAGAGCATGATTTCTGTATTTATCATCTTCAATGTTAGTATATTGATGTGTATAATTAACCACAAAAAGTGTAAATGTTTTGAATATTCCACCTTAGAGTATTACTGCTGCCATCATGCCATCATCTGTGTTAGAGGGAAAAAATGGTAGGCGTGGCCACAGGGGTGGCCATTGATTGGCAAAAGGCCAATTTATACTTCTAAAGCATAGCCTCTGAAACTGTCAAATCTGTCTCTGTGTGCGACCACGCCCCCTGCGCAGAGGCTCTGCAATCGTCTTCGTGCACCTCAAAAAAACCCTGACTACACGTCGGACGATCCCAAACCCGCACAGACCTCAAGCGGAAGTGCACAGCCAAAAAGCAGCTGTGATTGGTCCTTGGTATGCCTTTCCGGCAATCTGTGTGGTCATCCTTCTCAATTCGGTGCCGGGTCTCGCCATTTTTAAAAACTGAGGAATAACAACAATAGATACTCGAGATCCATCTCTGTGACCGTGATATCTTCCAGACGCGCTGTTGTTGTTTTGGAAAATAAACACTCCTGGCGGCGCTGCCAAAGAAGTTCTCGTGACCATCCGCCGAAGTTCTTGCGAGTACTCGAATAGGCTCCCCCCAGCGCTTTGGAGGGACACTGCTGTGCGTCCCTAGTAATTCCAGACCTACGTTGCAGAAGCATACCAGCAAAACTGGTTCGCGACCAGACGGAAGCGATATTTGATGTGTGCGGTTGCAAAAGTATAATCCAACCTTAAAGGGTATGACGTCATACACACTCCGCTTTGTTTTAAGAAAATATATAAATATAAAAAATATAACCGCCGTCAGGGGGCAGTGATTCGCCTTCATATTATGAATGCTGGCGTACCATAAATGATAAATTATGAACAGTTTAGTTTGTGCCTTCAACTTGTTGCCCATAGGAAGACGTTACTTGGATATAACGAAACCGAATATCTTCAGAACAGCTCCAAATGACACAAAACTCATATGGGTGAGTAGAACATGATAATAACATAAAATCAAGGGCCCAATGTAAAAAAAAAAAACAAACATTGTTCCCCTTTAAGGGGGGCCATGGCCACCCCTGGCCCCCCATCTAGCTCCGCCCCTGCCCTAGTGCTAGACAACTTTCTGTTTACAATAGAGTATCATTGTATTTGGACAGTTAAATGTGCAGGGGACATGTCCCCCCCGTCCCCCCCAATAAATTGCATCCATGACCCTACAGCTTGCCTGATGATGGGATAATCTGAGACCAACATGGAGCTTCACTCTCTGGTCAGCTGACCTCAGCAGCTAGAGAGGAGGAGTATTTGTCTGACAGATGTGTCAGTATGTTAAAGCATGAGTGCTGACAGCGGCTGGAAACTCAGAGCAGATCCATTCTGACTTCAGTCTCTGCGCTCTAATTAATGATCCGACTGCTCCGTTTGGAACCATTGAAAAAAGGAGCAACTGATGCGCATTTGGTGGGATAATCCACAGTTTATCTCTTTCTGACCATCTCGGTTTATTTTTTTTTTATTATATATAGAGAACTGCATTAAGAATCGAGCATATATGATGAAATACAAGGCAAATCAGACCAGGACGTACGACGGAGAGGGATTCAAGCGCAGAGCTGCGTGTTTGTGTTTGAGAAACGAAGAGGAGGACGAGGTGAGCTGAAGTTTGTAGCTCTCGGTGTTTACAGAGGTGCGACATTTTAAAAACTATATCCTTCTGGATTCAAACTGAAACAAAGCACAGCCTGTGCGATGAGGGAGCTCACTCTGCTTTAATTAGTGCTGTTAGGTGGGGCAAAGTTGAGCTTTAATTGGCTGAGGGCTGAAATATTTGACCTCTTAACTGCAGGGAGTCTGAGCAAACCCGACAGTGAATTCGAGGAAATCAATGCAGCTTGTATTTCAAAAAGACAACACGTCTTTAATCCATTGTCGGTGACACCCAGGCATTTATCCAATGACATGTTGTATTTAACTTCTGGCAGATACATGCAAGCAAAGTCAATCTTTATTAATACACTGCTGCCATTATAAAGAGATTGCATCTGTATTTAGTTTTGAGGTTTGTTCATTATGGAGTTTATCATTTCACAGGGACCAGAGGTGTTGCTGCACTGTTCAGTGTATGAACAGACACTTTTTTCTTTTCTCTGTCATTTAGGAAATACAAATAAATACGGTACAAAGAAATGTTGTATTTGGTTGAAATGCCTTCAGTGTTTTTGTCTTGGATCCATTTTGGGTTTTTATAAGCTTCTCTTAATAGACTAGCTGGAACTTTGGCCCATTCCTCCGAATACTGTGTCAGGGACCAGACTCAACAAGGACAAAAATAAATAAATAAATAAAATAGAAAAAAGTAGAAAATAATTCAATTTAATTCTTCCAAAAATAGTAAACAAAACAAAGATTTAATGTAAGAATAAATCAAAGGATAAATAAATTTGGGCCCAATTTAACTGAGGTCAACTGAACTCTAACTCTACACAAACAAAACTGACCTGCAAACAAACTAAAGATTGCTTAAATAGGGATGGAGTAACCCAAGGATACCACACGAGGGAGGCACGACATAACAAAAGAACCAATAAATACAAAATTAACTTAAGCATCCTATGAAAAAAAAAAGCAAAACGAACTTTTATTTAGTGAAAACAACATTAAGTGAATATTTAAGTGACAAAATTAACTAATCAAAAATAACTTGAAACAAGCCTCCCCCGTCAGTCTTTCAGAAAACAAATGGTATGCTCCAGGTTTCCTCCTCCAGCTGGTTTGTATCAGCAGCACCTCAAACAAAAAAACAAGTGTAAATAAACCATTCAGACAGACACTAAATGGTGCACCCATTAAGATATACCTGTCTAAATGAAATAACCAACTTAAACATATAAACTGTAATATAATATAAAGCAAAAAATATATAAAAAATACTAACATATTTGTATAACCTAGTCAGACTTGTTTAGATGTCCTTGATTTTTAGCCCATTTCCAGCTCTCCACAAATATGGATGTAGAGCATATGGATGTAATTTTTTGGGGGAACAGGGGGGGACATGTCCCCTACACTTAGTCAAATGTCCGTTTTGGTCCCCTGCACCCTTTACTGTCCAAAAACAAGGTTACACTACAGTACACAGACATTCGTCGAACACTAGGACCAAGTGGAAAACCGCAGCTTAATCTGAAGCCCTCTTCCATGAGTTTAGACCGCCCAAAAGCTCCTGATTGACCCACCGTCTTTTCTTGTGTGATTGGCTGTCACCGCTGTCACTCATGAGAAGCTCACTTTACAAACATCTGATGCGCCACTGAATCAGATCTGTGATTGGATGGACAAACACGCTGAAGTTAGTTATATTGAAAAAATACTTGCGTCCCCCCCACTTCCAAAATCATCATTTCGTCCATGGTAGTCGCCATTTCAAGTTGAAGATGGATAATTATTTTACCATTGTTATAATTTGTAAGAAAATCAATAAAATTAATAAATTCTAGATTGTGCTCGTTGTAGACCCACAACATACAAGTAGGCTATTGTTGAAATTGTTAGTTATAATTATTTTCAATGTTTCTTTCATGCAAGCTTCAATAAGTATGGATATGAATAGGAAATATGATCCTTTTTCATTAGATTTGTTTGATTTCCGAGGGTATTACTTGTGTTCGTGACACTTTGACTGATACAACCAATATCTCAAAATGTAAAGATACACTTTAGGAGTCATGTAGCTCTCTGTTCTCCACAGCATTTAACTTTGCGTTTTTACAGTAAACACTTAGAAAACTAATTTAGAGGTAAATGTAGGGCCACTAGCTATTTTTAAGACTTATTCCTCCCCAAGCTTTAACCTCATTGCCTTTCAAACTCAGCTGTAGGCATACACATAATTATTGGCTATAACAAAGTTGAGTATTCTTTTTAAAAAATCAATTTTCTGGTACTTTTTTTTTTGAAATTCAACAGGAAAGACGCTTGACTTTATTGCGTCAACATGTTGGTGCAGCCTGTTTCCTTTCATAAATTAGAATCATACCATGATCTGCTGCAGTATGGTATGATGCCGCTTCTGACCTTCTTTAAGAAGGCTCAACAAAATGTGACCTTTCACAACTGAGAAAATAAACCTCTGTCCCTGTGTAGACCAGGTACTAAATGAGCTGTGGGCGAGGAGTGCAAACACATGAATATACAACAAATTCAAAATGTACTACTAACACAAACATGGGACCAGCAAACACAAACATGAGACTAACAAACACAAGGCAAGGTAAGTTTATTTGTATGACACAATTCAGTATAAGGACACTTCTAAGTGCTTTACGTGAATTAAACAATAAAGAAGAAAAAATAAAAGCAGAATAAAAACAAATGAAGATAAAACACTATAAAAGCAAGTAGTAAAACAAACAACAGTTGGACCACAACCTTAAACTAGAAATACCTCAGTCAACGGTTTAATTTTAACGGTCAAGGGCAGTTCTAAACAGATGTAATTTTAACTTTCACTTAAAAAAACAAAAAACATACTTGCAAACAAACACACAAAACAAGTTTAGACTAAATTTGCTGTAATAAAAAAAAAGAAAAAAAAAAAAAAAGAGAGAGCCACGAAGTGAAAACATCTTGCAAACACAAAACCTGCTGCAAATAAATGCAAAAACAACTGCAAGTTAGGAAAAGCTAGAAACTAGCTTTGCATAACAGGAGCAATCCAGACCATGACGATGATTAACACATACTGAACATTACTACAAATTAATGTCTATGGGCCAGATCTGTTAGAAAAAAAAAACAAATGGGAAGCTCACCCAGAGAACATTAGGTAGAGGAAAGAAAAGGTAAGTTGTCCTCTGTATCTTTTTTAAACGCATAAAATAGGGTGAGCATCCTATATATGCCCTAACTAAGGTTCTGGGCTTAAACAGGTGGGAGATTGTTTCTCCCTAGTGGTGTAAAGCACATCCGTTGTGGAGGAACTAGTTTTGGTTTAAACAGTATAAGCTGATTGTTTATTTTTTGTTTTTGAGTCCAAATTGTGCCAAACCAGTTTTGTAATCTTGTGGATGTAAACCCAGCTAATGCGATGTAATTGAAGCAACTTCAAATCATTGGATTTGCCGTCAGATTAGATGCTAAATCATGTCCGATGTGTCTCAGTCTTTACTCAGACAAGCATAACTCAAGCGAAATACAGCATGTTGTATAATTTTGATAAAAGAATAATATGGGCAGAAACCTATGCCACTAGAGAATACATTCGAATTACCTGCAGTAAATCATCTGTATACATATTTTTAAATTAAAATGTATTTATTAATGGTAAAATAAATAAAATTATACGTAATAATTTATTTATTTGTTTGTGTTAAAACTATATTTCCTTGAACTAAAATTTCAGTTCGACTAATTTCGCTTTCCGTTTAGATTTCAGTTTCAGTTGTAAAGTTCTAGGTTTGGCTAATCTAGCATTTTCAGCTAAAAACAACTAGTGGTGTAGCTGTTATTATTTCCCTGATACTTGTATTTTTTATGTTATACATTTAATAAAAACTCGAGAGTTTTGCTGTTGGTCATTTGACACGATGCAGGGCATCAGCCAAGCTGTTGTTAGGAATCTCTTGTTGGCTCCACCTCTCCAGGTCTACATGGAGTCGCATTGGAAGTTTCTCTTTATGCCAAATGCGAACCTGTATTCAGTGACTCTATTTTTCTAGGACCTGAAGGTGTGGTACAAAAAACAGAAAAGCAAAGTCAGTATTAAAGAGTTTAAAATTACTTTTTTTAATTTTGTGAAACTCGCATTCAAATAAATACATTTAATTTTCACTTTTGCATACAGGGTTATTACTCTGGGTAATTACTATTTGGTTTCTAATGGCACAGGTTTCTCCAAACAGAACCTCATATTAGCAGTTCAAAGCTTAAACAAATGGATTCTGGCACTTGAGGCACTTCAAGGTTTTGATCAATCTTTACAAAGCTTTCTATGGTAAAGTGCTCCAGTCCCTCATAAAGGAGGAAAAAAAAATTCTGAATTATGTCATCCTTTATTAACTAGGAACTAGCCGTCCCACTTTTGTCCTGCAAATGTCACAATGGACTAATGTCCAAACAATAACATTTTACAGGACAATTTTACAGGACCTTAAATGCTAAATAAACTCTTAAAGCATCTAGCTTAATTTTTCTACCTCCTTCCTTGCTGGCAGCACTTATTACAACCGCTGACGCACTTCCACTTTGCCTTAAGAGTCTTTACTGGTTTAATGAATTCAGTTGGACCCTAGTTATATTGAGAAGAGCAGCAGTAGAACCTTTGATGAGATAATAGTACTGATAAAATAAATGTTAAATCAATTGACCGCTGAATGATCAGATTAATGGCCAGTTACAGTTTATTATCATTTTTGTACCGTAACTAAAATACTTTTTTTAAATGGGATGTTTGGCTAGCCCTTTAAAGTATTATCAGGGCACTGATTTATTTCTCATATAATTGCAGCATTTTGGAACCTTCAAAGCTTTAGAATCATTTGCCAAAAGTGGTTTGCTCTTTCATAAAGCAAATGCCCACACTTAACAATGTACTCTCTCATTTTCTGTATTTATTTGAGACAATAATTACCTGTAAAATCCCCCTAGATACCAGTCTACAGTCTACCTGTAAAGTAGTCTGAGAGTTTTTGTTAGTTTGGAAAGGATTCTTAAATATTTAGTCCTACAGTTGATATGGTTTACAGGGCAATTGTAGGTCCAGTTAACACGTGGAAGGTGTCAGTCAGCCTAGTGACGGCAGCAGTTTAAGGAGCACATGTGATAGGCAGAGTATGAGTGCCTGTTACAGTGTGCTTAACATCAAGTGACCCTTTAGGTGCAATTTATAGAAACAAGGTGCAGGCACTGACTGTACGGACAGATCTGCCTTGTGCTCAAAACCTTTTTCCACTTTCTGTGCTGCTTTTCATCAAGGTCTCTTCTGCTCTTCTTCTGGGATATGTATGCTGTCATTAACCTGTCAGCAGCCGAGCTACCGTTCAACATAGAAGGTTACTGTTGAACTCAAACAGCTCATTGGTATCAAAGACAATACTTTGAATTGCCTGTCCAGATTCTTTTGTTATCCAGGATCAGCCTGTCAAGGAAATGTCTTCCCTCTCTTTCCACAGAAACTCTCTCTAGCACTATTAATGGAAGATAAATAAAGAGCTTTGCATTTTTTCACTGCCTTTTCTTCACCAAGTCAGATAAGGATGCATTCTGCTAATCTGTTAATCGCTTAAATACTTCTACCTTTCTAAAATAAAAAATCTAGATACTTGATCTAGGCGGATTTAAATGAAATACTTCATGACTTATTTGACAAACCGATCTTTTTGTGCTCATTTAGTTGAGTAACATCTCTCACACACACACAAACCACAACCTCCAACACCACTTACACATACTTTTCAACTATAGCTATATATAATCTCTAAATCTTTATCTGGCATTGTTTATTTCATTATAACCTCACTAATATATATAAGCCATATTCTAACTTTCCTATGTAATCTGTATAGCTTCCATATTTATTTCTTTTATAGCCTCTTAGAATTACTCTCTATTTATATTTACCATTTATAGTCCATACAATCATAGTTTCTGTACACATGTAAATAAATATTTATATCCTGTATAGCACTTCTAGATAGATGCAAAATACATTTCCTTGCTTTGTTCTTGTGTATTCTAATCTCTCTCACTCACTGGAGGGGTTCCTCAGGGATGTAATTTTGGTTCTATGCTGTTCATTCTAGCCTTCTGGTAAGATAACATATTCTATTTTCCCAATAAATAGTTATGCCCAACTGTCAAGCATTATCTTTCTGTTAAATGTCTTCAAAAGGCAAAGTGATTATTTGTAACTTGCATCTAGACCACTTCAATTAATCTGTTAACCTTTTATAGGCCACTGCAATACTTTGAAAATCATGATTCGAAGCCAATGGTGTTATTGGAATCCAGGACAAGACCTTATTACCTTTGTAATATTCGAAAAACAGGGATATTTTGTTGTCAAAAATTAATATAAATGTAATAACAAGAAACGGCCAACTTCCCGAATATATCAAGAAAAATAAAAAAAAGTGCTTCTAAGCGAAATTCATGAAAAACAGAAAGTGAAAGAAACACATTCTTTTTGGTACAACATAACCTTAGAAGCATTAATTCTGATGCTAGCACTTATATTTTTTTAATTTATAAACCTAAATATAATTGTTAATTAGGCTTATTAATTTTTTTACTTTACTTTTCTGACTATTCAATTAGCTTTTCACCTTTTTATTTAGGTAATATATCATTCAAGGGCTCATCTAATTGGACAAATACCAAAATAAGATGTACAGCAATGTAGCAGTATCTGTGCTGAATGGCTGGATATAGATCTTGTGCTTCTAGACCTCATTGAGGGATGGGAGGGATTCCATTTGTTAGGGGTATGCAAGTGATCCAAAACGCTAACTTGCCCTATAAAGGGTTAAATATACCAACAATGCAGAAACACATACAGTTATACAAACTGACACATTTCTTTCTCTCTCTGTTTTTGATTGTTCTTTGCACTAGTTTGTTTCAGAGGCTCACAGTTATTTTAATAGAGTAATTATTGCATTTCATTTACTCTATTATATTGCAGCTATGCAAACTATCCCGACCCTTTAAGAAAAAGTTAATTTCTCCTAAACCTGATAACTGGTTGTGCAGCAGCAGCTGCTATTGGGTGTTAAACATAACTGGTAACTAGTCTTTTTCGTCACTCTGGAGACACTTTGTTTCAATTCAGCTACACTTTGGGGTTTTTAAGCCTCTTCAGGGTCACGCCAAATTAACTCAATGGATAGAAATTAGGTTTTCCTGAGCTTTAAAACATAACTTAACGTCAGATACTCTGCTTTAGGATTTCTAGCTACCAGACAGCTGAACATTTTTTATTTTACTATTCTGTCAAGCTACCATTGGTACATACCTTGACATCTTCATTGAGGACAAATGCCTCATTAGTCTTAGTTCTATGTAAGATATAATAAAATGCTTACTTCCCAATAAGATCTTGTGGATAATCAAGATGGTTTTGACTGATATAAGTTGTTCCTGTGTGTTATCTCTAATCGGGAGTGGTTTTAAATTCAAACGCCACTGATGCCATTTTTGCTCAGCCTCTGTTTTGTTTTTGAACCATGAATGTTGGTTACAACTGTGGCAAGTCAGGCCTGCGGTGCTTTAGATTCAAATATCCCACCAAATTAGAGGTTGATAGTCACAGTTGCTCTGACTGTAGACATAGGGAGACTTAGATATAAAAAAAATAGAAAAATTTCCCTGACCTGGAAATATCAACAGGCGTTTAAGTTACTCTAATGTGATGTTTTTTTTTGTCGCTTCCATTTTAAAAGTAGCCAATGGAAATGGGCCTCTCTTAGCAAACAGTTGAGCTTAAAATAATTACACCTTAAAAGTGGTAGTTTGGGGTTTTAAAGGGGACCTTAGTTTATTTTATTGCAATGTGGTTTACTGCAGTTGACTTTTCGTGATTTACCTGTCGAATAAATATGCAGGAGAGGGGATGCAAAAACTTTCCTTTAAATCAAAGTGGCCAACCAAGAAAAGTTTGTTAACAAGCGGTTAAAACAAGGCCTGCGTTAAATCAAAGACCCTATAATCCCTTTACAGAGGACAGAGCATACATGTATCTGTGGCCAATGAATTAGTTAAGTGTTCTGTTTCTGGGACATATAAATATAAAGGCATGGCCAATTTCAGTACTATCCATTGAGATGTTATTTGAAATTTCAAAACCTTCCAAAATATTCCACTCCTGCAGGAGTGTAGCTCTCTGAGCGCTCAGTGACGTGTGCTATGCCTGTTGGGATCGTTAACCTCCTCTGCTAAGCTTCTTGTTTTCATACTAAAAGGCAACTGCTGATCCGGTGGGTTTTTGAAAAGCCTCGTCGCCGTCTACGTGCGAGTGCCTACGTGTTCTGCATGGTGTTTTGTGAGATTGCTTTTGTGGGTTAGGTGTTTGTGTTGTACAGCCAAATGCTGGTGTTTCTATTGTCCCAAGAGCCCTGTAGAAGGGCTCTAATGGACTCTGGCATTCAGAGGAGATTCACCATTGCTCTTATCTTCTATAGCTTTAATAACCCACAACGCCACAAAAAAACATAGCAAACAGCTGGTCTCAGAGGCTTTGAGCACATTTTTGCAGTTCTTAGATTTGTAAGAAAAACTGCTCTTTCAATCTGTTTGTCTGACTGCCTTTTTCTAACTCATGTCAGGATTTAAAAAAATCCAAGGAATGACAAAAGATCGCTTCCATATTGAGTCTTCAATCCAAAGCTTTGTTCCATCAAATAAAGAAATTAATGAAAAAAATCTTGAGGTTTGTTAAACATCTTTTACACAATGCCTCGCAATATACTGCACATTACCCAAAACATACAAAACAAAGAGGGCAGCATTATGCTGGGGGGAAGTTTTTCTTCTGCAGGGATAGGAAAGCTGGTGAAACTTGGCTGAAAGAATGCTGGTGGTCAATTTGGGTGAATGCTCCAGGAAAAACTTTTATAGGCTGCAAAACCCTTGAGACTGGGAAGCAGGTTAATGCCCAGCAGGAAAATCTCCCAAAACAAACTGCCTGAGCTTTAATGCAATGGTTTAATGCAAGTCCATTTATGGCTCTGGAGCCACAGGTTGCAGACCCCTGCCTTAACTGGACCTCTTTATTATTTGAGTCAAAAATAACTAACTGGACATTACAGATAGTATAAGTGTGTACCTTGATCATGCAAATCAATTAAACAGCATGGATTGCCATCATGTAGCTTTAGTGCGGGACAGACTCTGGACTCCAGTGTACCAGTGCATTGGTGTTGATCTGACCGAGTTCTCTATCTTCTCCAGGTTCTGCTGGTGAGCAGCAGTCGGCATCCAGACCAGTGGATTGTGCCCGGAGGAGGGATGGAGCCCGATGAGGAGCCCAGTGGAGCCGCTGTCAGGGAGGTATACGAAGAGGTGATTTTTTGCAAAGCCACATACAAACTCCACCACTTTTCCTGTTGTTCTGGATCCTGCTGGTGAGGAGTCGTTAAACTTCTATTGTCCTCCATAATTTTTAGTGCCTCCCCACAGATTAAACAATGGCTCTGTTGAATCGTTTAAACGGATCCATCCATATAGATGGAAGGTGGGAATCTGGACTAATGGCTCGTTTCTTTGGCTATATTTATACACAAAAACACCATAGATTAGATGATGGAAAGTAATTAGGCTTGAAAAAAGGGGTTTAACTTTAAAAGTAGATATAATACAAATATTAAGAAAAGGAAAACAGAGTCAAGTCTGAGGATGTCCAGCAGTAAACCTAAGCGAACCACATTTCAGTGAGTGACGCAATAGTTTTAATTAAATATGAAATCCCATTGGTATGATGCTGAATCTTTCCACGAAGCAAGTGAAATTAGGCAATTACTCTTTTAATTTCATTGGTGTCATCACTTCCCACAGTCTGATATGGGCTTTTTATAACAGGAAACCCAGATGGGAGGAAGAAATAATTGACGGTGTTGTGCAAACGTCCCATTAATGAGTTCTGTGGTTCACTATAGTGGGTGGCTGGTAGTTTTCCAACATGTTTCACAGCAGGGTGAGCTGTGAACTTCTGCTGTGGCTTCGATGATGTGATGACAGCTTTGAAAGATGGCTGTGACATTTGGGTAGAGTTTCCAGTTACCCCAGTTACCCAGAGCTTATAGATCTGATGTGTACCTGGATATAGATGGGCTGCACAAACACTACAATCATATGAGTGAAGATGTTATTTTAGAAAACATTTTTAAGCAGATATTTCTGTGGATGATATAACATTTTTCAAAAATCATTTACAGTATTTCAATCAACTCTTGAAGCACAGTAGAAGGAAAAATTTTCATCTCATTTATGAAAGTCACATTGATTGTTCTAAAAAAATTCGAATAGATTTGCTGTTTTTTTTTCTTCTTTCATTTTCCAATATACCCAAAATATCATTGATTTTTTTATTCATAGCATTCCCTTATGTACCAATGGGTAACTGCAGCAATTGGTCATAATTAGTTGAAATTATAATTAATTCCTTTTGGAAAATCTGTATTTATTTGGCACCTAGGAGGAGTTTATGCTTGTAGCAGAATTACCCATAAATCATCAGCTATTTTGTGTGACTGCAACATTCTAGATGACAGTCACAGCATGATATTTTAATGATGCCCTTTGTCTCCCATATGAGCTAAATATGGCCTTAACATTTCAACAACTGGCTTTTCTTTAAGAAAAAAAGACATTTTTGTGTCACATCCACAGCTATCTGATTGGTACCAACCTGTTTCTGCTGACTGTTAATCCGCAAAGCTTTGTTGGATAATATATAATTGTTCAAAGCCTAAACTATTCAATAATTAAAGAAAAAAAATATCCACACTTACTCGATGTGGATTCAAAACTCCTTCACCTGCTCTCTGGGTAGGGATGCTCCCTTCTATCACTGGAGAAACGGGCATTATTGCTAATTAGTGATCGACCTCATGGGTATTTGTGATGTAGAGTAAAAGTTTAACCCTCTCTCCCTGACAGACTACCTTAAGCATAAAAATGAAGTGCAGACGAAGAATAGTCATATTAGTGATCTGCTGATAGAACTTTTTTGAAAGAAATCATTGAGGTGAAAATGATGATGCCCCAAAGTTTGATCCCAGAATTAAAATCGCATCTAGTTAATGTCCTTCAGAAAGGGACATGCCATTTCCAAAACTTCCCTCGCATCAGTTCCCACCTCATCTCATCATCAATTTTGCTACTGACCAGAGGTGCTTAACTTGCAGTTGGAACATGACTAAGGATAATTGCATTAACGATTTTTGAAACCGAAAAACCAGGATACTCGGATACTAACCCCCGATCTTATTCAGAGTTTTCACTTATTCTGCTTTCAAAAACATGGCCAGACTGGACTTACTTAGATAACCAGACCTTCACATCTTGGCATCTTAAAATGGTTGCTTTCAAAACATATACATTAAAGAATAATATACCAATCAGAGGAAGTTAACTGAGATATTGTAGTTGCTATTTTAGTGTAAAGCAGCAAAAGTGTGATGTTTAAGTGAATGCTGCTTTACGATGATGTTCAAACTGATACAAAACCTTTTTTTTCTTTTTGACAATTACACACATTATAGGTTTAACTATAAGAATGGCAAGAATGGTAATCAAAAATGTAATCTCCTCCTTACTACTCATTTGAGGAAATGTGTGTCATGCTGTGATGCATTAGTTGACATAAAAGGGTAACTCTTCCATGATTGCTCCTCAAAAACTAAACCATTCATAGTCCTGGTTTTGTAGCCTAACACGATTACAGTCACCAATTAATATCTACAGTTAAAATAAAATTAGCATTAGGCTTTTTTTTATCTCCTTATCTGCCTTCGATCTTCTCTGACCAATCAGTCAGAGGTCGAAGAAATAATTATGAAAACAAAAATTGGATTATTTTAAATTTCTTCTCTCAAAAGTTATTGAAAATGTAATTATTTATTTTTCATATTTAGACTGATCCCTTTAGACACTGATTGAGCAGTTGTACAAAATGATTTGAGCTTCTGCATCTGCGTATTGACTAATACAGTGACAAAGCTGTTCCTTTTGTGGGAAACACCAACAAAATAACCTCCCTTCTGTTTTGGCAATAGGGATTTCCTGTCTGATCCCAACTGTTCTAAAACAAGGGAGTGGAGCTGTGCTGTTATAAACAAGACAGTCAGCTGATTTAGGAGTTCCTAGAGAGCAGAATGGTGCCTGTTCTCTAGCACCTGTTCCTGGTTCTGGTGTTCTCACCAAAATATCCCCATTTCTTTGTTGCCACGATTCCAGGGATTCAAATGTGATGCTTAATGCAATATTTGCTGCAAGACACTGAAAAATCTAATGAACAGCTGGAAGGCTTCTATCAGCATCCCTCATCTACCCTGCAAAGAGTCTCAAATTATTTTAGATTGTGAAGACATTGCAATTTTTTCAGGACATTAAACTATTAGTGGAAAAAAAATACAAAAATAGATGTAAAGAGTTTGTCTGCTTTGTAATGTTGTATTTGATTTTCTGAAATAATCAATTAAAAAAGGTTTAAGTGGGGCTCTATCACCCTGAAAGTATTTCCGCCTTTTCTAAATTTTATTTTTCAGCCAAACTAATTTAAATATTTTCTTAAATATCTTTACGATGTATCCAGATGTGGCTCCTCTGGTAACGGTCCTGGTCAGTATTTTCCGGATTTTTAGGAACAGCCAAGGGTTTGAGAAGTTCTGGTTTTAGGACAAGCAGATTTCATCTTTATCTTTTGCAGATGACCCTCTTCTGCTTGGTCCTCTGGCCTACAACATCCACATGGGGAGTTTCAGATGATGCAAAGTAGTTGGGACGGTGATCAACTCCACCAAATCCGAGTCTTTGATTCTTTACTGGCTCTGAAAATACACACTAAATGTCTCCAGTTAATTCTGAAATATCTCATTTTTGATAAATCCTATTAATTAAGTAAAGTTTCTCTTTTTTAAATAGTTTCTCTCCCTCTGTCTGTCACAGCTCCCCCTCTGCTCTTCTCTGAACTATGTTCTTAAGCTTGTTAATAAATGTTTCGTTTATTTTGCACTTTTCATCTTTAGTCGAACCAAACAAATCACAGCCCTTTTTTTTTTTTTCTTGAGCAGAACAAGAATCAAATCTTTATCACAGCATGGATCAGCTCAAGCTAAACCAAATGAATTAATTCACACATACCATGATATTACAGAAAGGCTTCCTATCTGCGGTAACATGCTCTCACTCTTCTTTCATTTAAAGGCTCCACACTGTGCTCAGCTCTTCTACTCTGACTGTAACTTAATCTGTCTGACTGGTGGTTGCTTGTGAGCATCACGCTTTCTTCACTGTTAACCTAGTAATGGTCTACATGCAGCATCTTTTTCTCTTTCATCAGATGCTAAAATCTGGGTTCACGCAGGGAGGTTTGTTCAACTTATCAAAGTCACTCATTTTGACCGGTACTGCCTACGGATTATCTCACTCATGTGTTGCATCTCTTTCTGTTTCGCTTTAAACTGCAGTGTCTTTAATCTCATTTAGTGACAAAAACTGCAGTCATGGACTGTAAAATTTATTAAAATACCAGAAATGTGCTTAAAGTCATATTGTCCAATAATTTGCTGCAGTATTTACTCTAACACTAACCTTTACCAGTATCTTCCTAAACCTAAAACTGAATCTAAAGTTAATCCACACCATACCTCTAAACTAATCAACCTAACACTAAAAAGTGTCTTTGGTCCCCATAAGGCCTGTCAAAGGATTTTTCCTTCTGCAAAGCATGTGGACCTGGCTATGCATCAAAATCACAGGTTTTGCCAAAAAACAATTTTCTTTTTTTTTTCTTTTTTTAAGCTACTTATATGGAAGTTGTTTTGTATGTTTTCCAACCAGCATGAAATATAGAAATTGATTGATTGATGGATTGATTGACTTCATTGATCTTACAGTGGAGAAATTTACTCTTTACATTGCCTCAAATCGATAAATCCAGATCAAGGTTTGGTACTGTAGGCATGGCCTTATATCTCTACAGTGCCCTCTAGAAGCTCTAAACCAAGGGTGCTCAAGTCCAGTCCTCATGAGCTACCATCCTGTAACTTTTACATGAATCACTTCTCTATCACACCTGAATCTAAAGCCTCAATCCCCTCCTTTAGCTCAGCAGAGGCGTGGTAACGAGCCACTCATTTGATTCAGGTGTGTTAAAAATGGTTACATCAAATAGTTGCAGGATAGTAGCTCTTGAGGACTGAACTTGAGCACCCCTAAACAATTAGCCCCTGTCTAAAGCCATGCATACAATGAGATTTATGACATTTGGTACAGAGGTGAACCATGTTCAAAACCCCACAGGGAGAAAACCGATTTTGATCATATGGAAAATGTTATTTCTGGCAATAAAACATCATGGTGCTATTAGTTTCACAAGTTTTCCAGTAGATCAAAGTTTTTTTTTAAAGCTTAAAGACAAAGACGTAGTAAATATTCCAAACATGTAATGCACTTTGTTTTTTTAAAGTTCTTTTTTCCTTTTACTTCAGGCTGGTGTGAAGGGAACACTGGGCAGGTTACTTGGGATATTTGAGGTAAGGCTACCAAGGCATATTTTTTAACCATCACTTTAGATTGCAACAAATAAGATAACAGGAATCCACTGTTAGCATAATACACAAGGCAAACTCTCTATTATAGATGAAAGCATTTGCATATTGTGTCTATTGAGTTCATATAAGAGGTGGTAAATGATTTTTCTCCTTCTTATTTCTTTTTCAGCAGCACAACCAAGACAGAAAGCACAGGACGTACGTCTACACTCTTATTGTGACAGAAACACTGGAGCACTGGGAGGACTCAGTCAACATCGGTAAACCTCCATTCTAATCCAGTTTGTCATACCATGAAATAAATCAACATAAAAGAAAAATACAAAATAAACATTTATATATCACTTGATGAGGGCTCTAATGTCAGGTTTTCTTTGTATGAAAAATGTAAAGCGAAGTCAAATTTGTTATTTCATATTTGAGACAATTTTGCAGAATAACAGCAACAGATTATTCTGAAATTAATATTTTAAATTCATGCAGTCATATTTTTGCCCTTCCAAGTGTTTGCCGGAAAATCACAAGACTTTTAACGAGATCTGTAAACATTTCATGCTGTTTGCATAAAAGAGTAAATAAATTGAGGTTTAGTTTTATTGTGGTTGATCCTTATCTATGATGTTAGAGTAATAAAATGTTTCCTCTAAACAAAAGGAGAATGCATTTTACATTTGTCATGTAGCATTGGTATAGAATAGTAGGTGTTCCTAATCAATATTCCCTCTAAGCTGCTCGCTTGTGCTATCATGCACTGCTCGCATTTTCTAGGAGTACAAGAAAATCTATGCAGTGCATAAAATAAAATCCAACAGAAACTGTAAATCAAATAGACTAAACACACTTTATTTTATTTTGTAATTTTGATTTTATCATTTGTTTTAGAATTTAAAAACCAACAATGATAATACCAGAAACCAAACTCTCACATCCCCCCAAGATTCGTTACATAATATTGAGAAACAAGGAACGTTTTTTGCTTGCCATACAACATTATATATTATAATAAATAAACAAGGAAAAACTTCGTCTTAATTTAATTTCGTTGGGCTCTTATAGCATCCTAGCCGCCTGGACACTAGATGTGCTAGCCAGCTTTGTTGAATTAAAAAATGTAGCTGTTCTGGCCACTGATCTCTATTTATTCACAGGATTGCTGATAGCCTGCCATATTGGTACTCCATAATTAGACAGGTCGCAATGTAAACAATGGACGCAGGAAACTAATAAGGCACTATTGGGATGCTATTACTCTAGTAACCCTCATCACGTGGTTATATGAAAAGAGTGTGGGCACTATATAAGATTTGATACCCACATTCTGAACAAACAACTAAATACCTAATATCTTAGTGTTCCAACATTCAGAAACAGCAGCTGATTTGATTTCACAGTTAGAGTGCCAGGGGGTCCAACAAATGGAAGCAATGTCAATGGGAAACAAAGATTCAAGGTCAGCCTTAGTGATCGATGTGTCTGCCCCAAATGATGGAAACATCATGAAAAAAAGAACATGAGAAATTTGAAAAATACCAAAAACCTCAGGGAAGAACTAGAGAGAGTGTCTGGAAGGTGAAAGCAACGATTGTGCCTGTGGTCATTGGAGCAATCGGGGCAGTGACACACTGGAAAAGTGGCTCCATAAGATACCTGGAGAAAAATCAGAGATATCGGTACAGAAATGCACAGTTCTAGAGACAGCTAAGTTTCTTAGAGTTAGACCTGAGCTTGAGATGAAGCAACCTCCCCTCCACCCAGCGATACGAGGGCTGGGCAAGAGAGCAGTATATAAGTTTGGCCTCAGCTTGCACATATTACTCAGGGGGCTTGTGTGTATGCCCAGACACATGAAAAAGTAAAGGGAGCATTGTTCACAACAATGCTGAAATTTGGAAAACCATTATTGCTGCTTTTTAACCCAACTTTCATCAGACCTAGATTTTTAGTAATCTATCCATCAACATAAAAAGGCTGTTAGTGCACAAAAAAATCACCTAAAAGTTGTCATAAGTATGTTTAAAATATGGATTAGTTTCATTTTTGAAATACTGGACAGATTTTATTTGGTGACAAAGAGCAATTGGCCTTGAACATTTTTATTCAATAAGTCAAAGTCCTAGAGGTCACAATCATAATAAAATAGCCTGTTTTGTTCAGTTTAGTTTTTATTCTATATACCCTATAAACAAGGTCAAATCTTTTTTAAATGTTGCAAACTGGACTGATATTTTAACGCTTTTTATGCTGGTACATCTCAGTCATCACTGAGCTGCCTCCATCTTGTGCAGAATGCAGCAGCTCACCTTTTAACCAATAATCCCTTGTGCAACCACATTGCATCCTGTTATCCTCATTACATTGGCCTCTCGTCTGTTTTAGAATAGATTTTAAACTTCTTTTTGTTTAACAAGCTCTGAGTAGCCTCACACTGTGCGGCCCGATGCTCTGATGCAATCTTACGACGGCTGACTGAATTTCAAACATGTTTGATATTCCACCGACCTCACGATTCCTGATCGTGAGGTGAATGTGAGAGGCTGATCGCCCCTCGTTACCACCTGCGAACTACACGACACACGATAAGGCTGAGACTCAGCAATCGGCCTGAAAAGGGCAAAAAGTCATACAGTGTATGCCCAGCTGAAGTCAAATCTCACGACTTATTGTCTTCTTCGAACAGGCTTTTAACACTTACAAGAGCAACAAGTGAATTTGCACCACTAGATGTGCTGTTGAGCACTGTCTGGCAATAATAATAACTGAACTTTATTGATTTTACACCAGAGAAATTTTCCTCTGCATTGAACTCATCCCCTTGTGAAACAGTGGGCTGCCATTGTGCAGCGCCCAGGGAGCAGTGTGGGATTAAGGGTCTTGCTCAGAGATCTAGAATGCAGATCCAACCAGGTACTTGCAAACTTCAACCTTTCAACCTTCTCATTTTAATGCAACTTCCTATCAAAGAGAATAATGTGAAACAAGAGGTAATTTGATTTGTATTAATCAATAATGATAATAAAAAGTATTAACGGGAAGAAGACTGATTCTACCCATGAAATTCAGACTGACCACATTATATTTTTTGATATATAATCTGAGATCTATCATTCCCTTCGTCTTATTATTTTAATTTACGATAAAAGATAAAATAGACTCAAGCTGCTGTCGGTTTAAAGACTCAGCCCTAACCACACAGAATACATGGAACAGGGACAACTACCAGATTATGTTACTCACACTGATAAAAATATCTGAAACTTTGACAACATAATAAAAAAAATCAATATGCAAATGTTTAAGCAATTAGTGATAAGGCTATTTAATCTCATCCTATTCTTTGCAGATGCCCTATATGTAGTGACAATTTACTCACCTCAGCATAATGGATTGTTTGGGGGTGATTTCTTGACTAAAGTTTATTTATTTTTTCAGTAATTTGGCATGGAATAATCTAACCAATTGGAGGCAGCCATAAACTGTTTATACCTTGGTAAACATTTAGGCCTGGATGGTCAGGAGATTATAAGGTTTAGGAAACAATAAGATGGTAAAATACTGCTAAAAGGAGTTACTTTTACCGCTTTAATTCCAATATGTAGAGTAAGAATAACAAACGGAAGATGAGCACTAAAAGTTAAGAATGCATAATTTAATTTGGTTTACCATTTTATGTTAGAAGCTTTTACTTTTGTTAGATTTTGACAGACTGTTGCTCTCTTGACCAACTAAAAGTGAGCCATTTTCTCCACTCCGCACACTGTAATTTAGGTCTCTCCACCCTTTGCTTCAAATACAATTAAAGGACCTTTGTGTTTATTTTCTTCCACACAATACTTTCTGTTTACATTCACTGCTTTTATAATCACCACACATCCCTGAGCTCTAAAAGCTGTAACCGAAATATGCTTCAGTCATTTTCCTAAAAATATACTAGAAGTTATGAAACTTTTAAAGCATCCATGCAAGCAGTTAGAATCAAGGAATGGCATAGAAGGGATGGATTTACAATGCTCCACATGTCTGCACCTTGAAGTGAAGTTCACCACCTGCAGAAAGGAAACGTTAGAGCAGCTAAACTCTTTTTGCTTTGGTTACAGTTCTCATGCAGGAGAATAGAGTTGGCTGCGATGAGTGATAACTGGAAAACAACTGGCCACAGCAAACATTCCTGCCCCCCCTTTCTCCCCGTTAACAGGCTGAACCTATTTCTGTGGGTGAATGAAGTAAACCATTACAGGCATCTCCAACAGACCAGTTGGAAATGTTTGTTATGTGCTACTCTATCCCTATAGGAGAGATACATTTCAAATATCAAACACCTTTAAAATAACTAGGGGGATGTTTCTTTTATGTAATCCACATTCCACGGTCACATTATTCCTCGTTTCTGGAATGTTTACGCAGGTAGGAAGAGGAAGTGGTTCAAAGTGGAGGACGCCATCAGGGTGCTGCAAGGCCACAAGCCTGTCCATGCAGAGTACCTCCGCAGACTGGCAGACACCTGCAGCCCCCCCTACGTGCCTGTGTGCGGCCCCCGAGCGATGGAGAGCAAGGCACCTCACTATGTTGTTTGCTCAACGCAGGATTCGGATCTCTTTAACAGATAGGACCTACAGCTAAGAGTTCCTCCAGAGGACACTGATGGACTACACTGGAGCATCGGTTGCTTTATAAAAGCATTTTTTTCTCTTGTACAAAAAAATTTGCTGAATTTTTTTTTTTTTTTTTTAAAGCTGCCCTTAAGAGAGAGTGAAAATGCTTTCTAGGTGTTTTTACTCTTCTTAATTATTTAGGTGAAAATTATAAGTCAGCAGAGCTAATAGGTGTCATTATACGGTGCAACTTTTGATGCATTTTCTTTGAACTGCGATTGTAAAGTTCTTAGCAGGGTCTTACATGGTGCATTTGTAACCGTAGAGTTACATTTTCTCTCTGTTTCTATTCTTCAGTTTCCAGAAAGCCGAAACTGGGAAATGTTTGCCGTAAGAGGAAGCCCTGTTCCCATACTGACTCATTGTCAGATAATTTCCTGTTGCAAGAGTTTTTTAAAGTGGAAGTAGCCGCAAGTGTGTGAATGATTTTGAGAAATCTTCTGTATGTTTCCTCATAAAACAGTTTTCATATTTTGAGAACTTGGTTTAAAGTTTCCTTTTTGTAATCCTAAGTGAATGCATAATTCCAACAAGCTGGATTTTTGACACTTTAAACCTGGGAGCTTGCCTTAATCAACACTAAGATACTATTTTGTATGTGTATTCACAATGTACTCATAAATAAGATTAATATCTGATAAAGATGAGTGAAAACCCTTAGAATAAATTCATCTTTTATAGCTACACTATAATAATGCAACCAAAAAAATCTAGTATTTAAAGATTTAAAAAAGCGTAACTCAGAGGCCCATGGCATCACTGATCCTCCACTATGCATAGCCATTTGCCTCACAGCAAACCCACAGATTCTTTGTGGCTAAAAAAATTAATAATTTTATCATCTGACTGAAGCCTACGGTTCAGATTAAAGTCCCCGTAGCACATGGCAACCTCTTCATGTTTACATGTGTAATGATAAGACAGAAAAGGATTTTTAAGATTTTTTTTATGGCACGCTTCCTAATCTCCCAATTACCATGTATAGAGCGTGAAATGATCATGAAGGCTTTGGTGACACTGAGATGCCTTTCTTATTGCAGTTCTGTAGCAGTGAGCTTTAGACATGTGTGTCTCTGCCTTACAATTCTGATGGCAAAATAAACTGTTATCTTTTCCCTGTCTTGTTTGGTACATCTCCAGTTGCTTAAAACTTTGTAAACAAAGCTCTGACTGTTCATATCAACAGGTTTTAGTGATGAACTGTTTTCTTGTACCTGGAAATCTACATATACATAACATAAGAGAATCTCATGTTTGTTTTTCCTTTTTTTGTGAAGAGTGGCCAAGAGAAATGGCGGCTATAGTGCCATATAGTACAGTTATTTCTTGTGAAATCAGAACGCTGAGTAACTGAAATCTTGGTTAGTCTGATCAACTTAAAAAGTAAAGCATACATTTCAGAAAAAGCTCCAGCAATACTCATTTTATAGAAAGTGTTATGACTGTCAAAATGTTTGGTACTGGATTTTTCTTAAAAGCAACTATAACTTAATATCAGATTTCCCAAATCCTCTGAAAGAACACTGAAAGAAATAATGCAAACGCATTTGGCAATTACTTAATCATATTTAGTTACTTTAACACATTTTTTTTTATGTCCTACTCTGCTAACATGAAGCAATTGTGTTAAAGTAACTAAATATGATTAAGTGAATGCCAAAAACGGCTGCATTATTTCTTTCAGTGAACGCACTAAAATGAAAAGGCTGGATTTTATTACATTTTGAAAGAAATTACATAACTTCAGCAGAAAAAAAGCTTTTTTTTAAAGCTTTCTAAACACCTGTTGTGGAGGTGTGAGCAATTGCAGTTGCAGTAGAACAAAAACCGTACAAGAAGCAACTCTTCAAATACATACCCAGCATGTCAAAGGCATTCAGATGTTACTGAGAAATAAAATTTCCTAACAGTGATCTGTTAGCAGCATTTAAAAAATGTGACATTCAACAGTATCATGTGTGAGGAAGCCTTGAACTACAACAAATGGGTGTCAAAGTGTTAGAATTATTTTAAAGTGCCTTAACATAAATTAAAAATTTTTTTTATCATCATGAAACAAGGTTTTGTGGAGGTTATAACTATAAGACAGCTAAAATAATAGTGTACTTTAATGAATAATTTGAAATGGAACTCTTAGGTGCCCCTATGTATAAGGGCTACAGTATAAGGGCTATCTGGGGGTCACAGGAGCACTTGTATTAGTACAAGATGGGATTTGATGTGTATATATCCATTAAAACATATTAACGGAGCGTCAACCATATTTTCCTGATAACATAAGATTTACTAATACTTGGACACTTATTGCACACGTTAAAAGAATCAATAATTGACCTTTTTTTCCCATGACTCCTTGGAACAAAACAACTTGTGCCTCTTTTACTGTCCTTTGTCTGCAGTGATGCAGTGTGATCAGTCATTACTTGAAATCTATATCACTCTTGAACCGCAAAAATAGGGTACACTGGTCTTGTAAGATACAAAAGATCAGAAGCACAAATAGAAAATGTATTTCTACAACTTTCAATTGCCAATATATTCATATAGGGCCCAGATGGACATGAAATGGATTGAATAAATGACCCTATTTGTGAATGTCCACAGGTTCCCATTTATAGGCTCGATACATCACAACCGAAGTGTGTATGTCTTAGAGATAATTGATTTTATTGATCTCACGGTGGAGAAATGTAGTCATTACATCAGCTCAAACTGTCAAAACGAGAAGAAAAAGGCACATGGAGGTATATACAGTATATGACAGCTGAAGATTCTTTTTTATATATATATGTAGCTGAATTATTGCACAGGGCATTTACATGGGTATTTATATAGATGGATATTTATATATATAGCTTTTGCACTGGGTATCAAATATAAAAAAGTTTATTGCATGGGATATTAAATAGTAATTGCACATTATACGTTGCACAAGTTATTGCCGTTGTAGCGTGGCATTGTAGAGTCTGGTTGCAGCAGAGATGAATGACCTGCGGTAGTGCTTCTTTTTACAAACAGGGTGTAAAAGTCTTTCAATAAAGGAGCTGATCAGCTCCTCTACAGTCTGGTGCAGAGGGTGGAAGGTGTTGTCCATGATGGATGTAAGCTTGGACATCACCCTCCCATCAGCTATTACCTCCAGTGAGTCCAGAGCACAGCCTAGAACAGAATGATGATGTGCAATTAGAACACTTTTCCTAACATCTTTTATAGACCCGTAACACCTATATATATTACTCAAACTGTTTTGCTTTTACAAGTTACATTCAATCATACAAAGCTGAAGTTGGAAAAACCAGGAAAAGATGAGTACTAATGTAATGCAACACATTTCTGGTGGGCTTTATTGAGTGCCCCCCCTCCAAAGGCTTAGAAAACCTTGGACTAGCCCTGATGTCATTCTAATTTATACACATAATGGGTTAGAAACTTGCACAGGAATTGTTTTGTTCAGATTTCCTTAAAAAGAGGTTAACCTACTGCCACCAGCTGCTATACTGTATATTTTAGATTAAAAAAAAAACATGTATGACTGTAATGAATCTTGTATGTTGATTATAAAACAGAAAAGATGATTAATGGTGCATAGTCTTTTTATTAAAGCAGAAGATGACAGCTCTGTGTTCACAGCGAGCAGCCACATTGATCCAGACGCTCCACCAGCCCCTCAACGACCCGCCCATCCGCCGCTTCTCCCACAGCCTGGTCAGGTGTTGGCTGTTCCCACACCGTAAACTTTGCATTTTGATACATTAAGCATCGTCTTTGTCGGGACAAACCCACCACAGGACATGTTCAGAAGGATACTACAAATGGTGAGCTTTTGTGGCGTTAATTATTCGGGATCGCTTTTGTTTTGGGCAAACAGTTGCGTTTTCCAGGCCCATCTGTGTCTGGTTTCTTCGTGGGTGCGCGTGTTTCTTCAAATATTGTATCGCTAGAAAGCGGAGATTGTGTACTTGCAGCCCGTGTATTTATCGTCCGGAAACGTCCCGCTCCTTCGTTATGTTTGTGTGTTAATATCAAACGCACCTTGCATTTGGATGACACAGCTAGCTTATAGCGGTTGCTAACATGTTTTAGTTACATTATTATTCCTTTGGGAGGGGAAATTGGATTTTCAAATGGAATGCAGATTATCAAATTTATGTTTCGGACAGTATACATTAGTGAGCTGAAAAAAATAAACAGACACTGCTTATGCTAATCGTTAGTTGTGTGTGGGTCAATTCATCAGATGCTAACGCTATCGTTAGCTACAGGCATTGAAGACATGCTCAGGGTACTATATAAACGGCTGTTTTAGTTAACTGGGCTTCTAGTTGTTTCAGTAATTGTATAGATAAACGGTGTTTATGCATGTCATTGAAGTAACCTGTCGTACTAACGCAATACATTGAGCTAAATAAGCTTTACTCGTTGGACCACATTACCCATAATGCCGTGCAAACCGCAACGTATATTTGGGCCACATGACTCACTCCCATACACAGTTCAGCCAAAACTTCATAACATTATAATACAGTTAAGGGGACACCTGTCATAGAAACATGTGCATAAACAATATTTAAAAATTTCTAGCTGTGAATGCACCATGAGTCCCGATTCTAATGCATTCGTTCAACAGGTCAGACCAGGATTTATAATTTGATTGAATAAACGTTCTGAGTTATGAAGAAAAATTCTAGAATGTCTAAAAAATATTTTTTGATAAAGATTATTCTCACAGACGTCCTACTCTGTCATTGCTTCAAACATACGGTATTATAAAGTAAATAATATAGAAACAATTTACCAAAAAACATTTGTTTTGACTTTTATGTTGCTGACTTATGTGACTTATTTTGCAACTAATAAATATCCAGTGCACTTATACACTTGGTTTGCATTTAAAGTAAACATGCAGATTATCTTATTTTCTGCTCCTAATAGTAGCACAGGGATTCTGTCAATCTGCAAACAGCTTGTTGATAAGGTTTTTGCACAAGTTAAAATGGTCTGCATGGAAAGATGATTCATTATAGAAGGGAGGCAAGAGCAACACTTAATAGAATGGAACCCATTGAAGTTATTGTGGAGGATTAAAAAAATAAAGTAAAATGCATGTGCAAGAGCATGCACAAGCCCATTTCTCCTCGTGCACGCCCTGTTTAAAATGTGCTGTTCTCATAGCTCATATAAGCTTACTGTGTCCACATACAGCGGGGACTATATAGTGGACTTTATAGCAAACTCATTTAACTGACCATGCAGACAAACGATCACTGCTTGGTCCTGTAACTCCTCCTCCACTGCATGGTGGCTGCGCCATCTTTGTTATTAGTTGACGCTGTTGGGTAGCAACAGCTTATATGCAGAACTTTGGTCAGAGAGAGGATTGGAAGGTGAATGAATAAGGATAACGGGCAATTCTGGAAGCATGTTAGATCTCCATTATTCTCCAACAAAGCAAACATGAGGCCTTCACAACACCACTGGATTTATATTGAATTTCAATTCCACCTAAAAGTGACTGTTTTAGACTTTTATATAGCAGTATCACAGTAAAGGGCCACTGTGGGAAAACTATCCAATTTTCCATCAAATTCATAATTCTGCTATTTTGTTCGTCTGTCACAGACTATCTCAACTAAAAACTCAGAAGATGTGGTCGTTACGTGACAGTATTAATAAGCAGGCATGTGGACATACAGTAACATTTAAGTGTCTTGTTGTTCTTTGAGAAATGGTGTCTTCTCTATCTTTTTAACTTTTCTTACAGTTTTTCAAAGACACTAATCTGTTGTGTCTGTTAATGTTAAGCTCATTTGTTGCTATCCTAAACCCTCCTTAATAAACCTAACTCTTCAATAAGGAAATATTATGAGTTTTATTAGTCTGTCATCTCGCCGCTCTCCAGCTTTACTCACTCCTTTCAGCACTAGTGAATTATATTTCTGCATGTTTTAGAATTTGACGTCATTTTAAGTTGAAATCAACAAATCTCTACAGGATAAATCCAATAAAAAAAGTCATAAAAAATACAAATATTTGATCAGTATTGCTTCAAATATGCCGAAGATGTAGTAGTGTGGGCATATGCTTGTTTGATTTGGATCAAAGGTTGTTCCATGACGCAAACCTTCGGTCTGCTTTCAGACAATTTGTTTATTGCTTCTTTAGCCCGCTCTGCAGCAGCTCTCTCCAGCATGCACACACAGGACAGAATCCCACCAACCCTGACTGAGACTTCATTCATTTATGTCACAACACTTCCTTTTTAATCATTAACCTTTTTCGATTGGGAAAAAATAAATCTGAATGAAGATAAACTAAAAAGACCTTGAGGATAAAAGCTTATTGTGACATCTCCTATTTGGAGTAAATTACACATCATAAAAGGCTAAAATGCCTCCTAATGAGCAGAAGATATTTGAAGAGTTGGTTTAGTTTAACCGCTCTAAGGCAGAGAACATTTGAGGAGGGGACCGGGGCCAGAGGTAATCTAAACAGCTCCAGGGGAGGCTCGCTAAGTGGGAGTGATGCAATGCACTGCAATGCTAGCTCTCTCATAGTGGAATATTGTTTATAAAACCTGGAAGAAAAATATAGCTCGACCAAAAAGATCCACGGCATGCTCAGAAATGACTTGAAAACAAAAATGTAGTTGTTTGTGGAGTTGGAAATGATTATCTTCTAGCTGAGTCTAGAATTTGTGGTTTGACCTAAAAGTGCTGCTGCTGCTTTTTTACATCCTCAGAGCATCTATCTGTCTCAGAGATTTCATCACATGTTCTTTGTTTTAAAGTAATTTACAGGAGGGAAAAAACAAAACAAGCCTCAGTAACTCACTGCTGCAGAATCGTGATAATAAGGGCACTTTTTATCTATTTCAATATAATTCCTGGAACTTTTGACTTGATGACATTTCCAAGTAAGAATCTAGAAAGTCAAGCAAAGCAGTAAGTCTTGGGTGTGAAGATCCTGGATTCTTTACAGTCCAAATAGGGTCAATTAAAATTGTGTAGAACCACAAATATTTCATGACATTTAAAAAAAAAAAAAAAATAGTTTTTTTTGGATGCATTTCTGCATCAAGTTTGCTTTCATTTTTAAAGAGTTGCTTTATTTTATTTTGATTATCAGCTCTTTAAATAAAGACAACTTTTGCAAAAAGATAGATGATTCATTTTATGTTTAAAAAAGCAGCACATTTCAAACTTCTAAGAAGAAAAATGTATGGATTCTATTTGAAAAGTTCTCAGACAATCATGCAGAAATCCAAATAATTACCTACATAAATGGCTTCTGTGGTCTTATTTGGAACTAACTTTCATTTTAAGTAGACTTCTCTGCAATACAAAAAACACTACTAATAATACACACATTATTTTAAGCTACCGGTACTTGCATTCACCTTCTGAATGCCAATAATGCATATGGACAGTTTCTTAAAGTTGTACTCCACTGCGTCAGTCGGTTGATTGAACAAATAGACTTTCTATTTATTCAGACCAGTCAAAGTGTATTTTGTCGTCTGCAGACTCCTGGGAAAGGAGGCTCTCAGAATGCAGAGTCAGAGAAGCCCAGCACCGACCTCAACCACGACCAGACTTCAGAGGTACGCTTTTCCTGACTTAACGATGGAGGCCGGGATGCTCTGATCAGTCCTGATGTGAGGTTTGTAGCTTCTGATGATGTGTTTTTCCGTCCAGGGCTTCATCTGTCCTCAGTGCATGAAGTCTCACAACTCTGCGGACGAGCTCTTCAAGCACTATGAGCTGTTCCATGACACGGGAGACCTGCCTGCTCACGTAGCGCCCACCCGGTGAGACTGCTCTTAATATTTACGCCAAGTGCAAAATGTCCTACCTCTTGATCTTTTCCACTAGCTAGGATGTATTTTTTTATGGGGGGGGGGTTTATTTGATAAACCAACATGCAGTGATAATAAATACTAATATTTCACTTTATTTCATGGCGCCTTTCAAGAAACACAAGTTTATTGTACAAAGAGAGAAATAAAATTAATCTTCTTTCGCTCATCCGGGGTCGGGTCGCGGGGGAGCAGCTTAATTAAGAAGGCCCAGCCGACACCCTCCCCAGCCACTTGGGCAGATCCTCCAGGGGAATCCCAAGGTGCTCCCACGTCTGCCGAGAAACATAGTCCCTCCAGCGTGCCCTGGGTCTCTCCCTGGGTCTCCTCCCGGTGGTTGGAACACCTCACCTGGGAGGCATCCAGGAGGCATCCTAACCAGATGCCCGAGCCACCTCAAATGTCTGGATGAAAACAAGCAACAAAATTAGGCATTGAATATGAATAAAAAAAATAAAAAAAACTGGATGTTATGTAGGATGTGCAATTTGGAAAGAGATTTAGCTTTAAAAGCAGAAAGGGATTGAGAGTGAAGATCAGGAGGAAGTGAACTCCACAGATAGGAGAAGAGTTGAAGATGGATGGAACTGGAGGACAAGAGGGAACGGGAGTGAGTAATGGCAGAAACATAAGAGGAAATGAGATGGAGAATTTCAGCCAATGAAGCAGCTGCAGGGTCGGGGTGATGAGAGACTTCTGGTCATAACCTGAGCTGCTGCATTTTGTGCATTTTGAAAGAGTTGTAGTTCATGGGGGAAACAGATCATACAGGAGGGAAATGCAAAAATCAAGGTGTGAAGAATGAAGTCAGTCGATATTGCTTAAATGAAATTAAGCAGTCTGTGTGAAACTGCAGAGAAAGTGGACTGTCAAGGTAAACACCTAAGCTAAAAATGTAGAATCATCAGTGTTTGTAACAAAGCTTGCAGAATTAGGTAAATATATAATTGGTGGCAATGAGGAGGATTTTAATTTTTTCTTTTTCATTAAGTTTCAAAATGTTGAGGGAGAAGCAGGAGGAGGGCGTATTGGTGATCGATGGTTTAGAATAGATGTAGAGTTGAATGTCATCAGCATAATGATGGAGGTTTATGTTGTGTTTTCTGAAAATGTGAGCAAGTATATATGCTAAATAAAAGACGGCCAAGTACTGACCCTTGGGGTACACCTGATGAGACGGGAGCATTTGGAAGAAAATGAACCAAACTGGATAGACTGGAAGTTGTTTGAAAGATAGATGAACCAAAGAAGAGTGTTTGAAAAGCCAACTAGGATAGGTTGGTTAGGCAACATATGTTGTTTTTTTTTTTTATTTTGAGATGGAAAACATAAAATACCGTAATAAAAATGCTCAAATTAAAAAGTTGGGAAACGCTGGTCTATGAAACTGAACATAAACACAGTAAATGCCACATTCACTGGATGTTCATGTCTCAGGCTCAGTCAAAACAAGCCATGCTACAGCAGCTGTGAGTGAGCTGATGGCTGTCACAACACAAAAAGATGAAAATATTTTGCACGGTCCACTGGAAAAAAGGCTAAACCTTTATTTATGGAAAATATAACAATTGAAAATAGTCTGCTTTTTTAATGGTTTTATTTATGGACACCTAATCAGATAAAGTATTTTGCACTTTGTCAGATGAAATTGAACAAAATTCTAAATTACAACTTTATTTTAATAAAACTACATCACCTTTTGACTGTAACTCTGTTTGCTTTTAACATAATAACATATAATGTTCCTTAAAAATATATGAGAGGAATTTTTTTTTTTGGCCCATAAATCATTTTGTCTTCTGGTTCACTTGGCCGGTGAGTGAAAAAGTTAATTTCGGATCCTGTCTCAGCGACTAAAAGTTCTGATTAAACTCTTTCTTCCTTTTCAGTGAAGACCTAACAATGTTGCGGCAGGAGGTCCAGGACCTCCACGCTTCTCTTAAGGTGCGTTCAAGCTTCCAAACATTGAGAATCGGATTAGATCTGTGGAAAAATATTTGAAACAAGATCTTTTTTTTTTTTGCCTGTAACCAGGAGGAGCGATGGTTCTCTGGAGAACTAAAGAAAGAGTTAGACAAAGTACAAGGACACCTGAAGCAAGTAAATCCTTTGAGATATTAACATTTATTTCAGTAACACACAGGCTCATTGAATATAAAACAGTGTTCACAATAAAGATGCTCTTCTTTTCCTCTCTGCTCCACAGACAGACGGACAGATGGGAGCAGAGGATTCAGGTGGGGAAGCGCTGCATTGAAAGAACACGTTGAGATGGAGCATGAATGGTTTGCTGCTAACATTCTGGGCTCTTTTTCTTCCTCAGCTCTTGAAAGGAAGCTGGTGGAAGCTGAGACAGAAAAGTTCAACATTAAGCAGATGAAAGACCTGTTTGAGCAGAAGGCTGCGCAGCTGGCCACAGAGATAGTAGGTCAGTGTGGGACTGGGAGACGAAGGGGTCGCGGTCTGGGGCTGGTTTAACAAACTGAAGTTCTGTTTTGCTCCACCGCTGCCAACCTCAAAGCTTCCTTTGTGTTTAATTCACACGTTTGATTGTTTTGCTGCTATTTTAAAGGTTTTGCATGAATCGTTTTGGGTAAAATGATTGTTGTTATTTTTAAAACCGACTCTGTCAGATCTGAAGTCCCGTTATGATGAGGAGAGAAGTCTGAGGGAGGCTGCTGATCAGAGGGTTTCCAGTTTGAACGAACAGCTGCAGAAGGAGAAGCAGGAGAATGAGAGACTTCAAACAGAACTGGTAAACACAGCAAAGTTTCTCCTTTTCAGCCCAGTGGCAGGCGTCCCTGCTTTATCTGTCTGTCTTGCTGCTCTGCCCCCTAGCTGCAGCGGCCGGGAGTGGAGGACGTGGAGGTTCTGCAGAAGGAGCTGGTACAGGTGCAGACACTCATGGACCGTATGACCCGTGAGAGGGAGGAGGAGTCCGAGCGCCTTAAAAATCACTACATGGAGCTGCAGGCCAACTACACTACCTCAGAGGTTTGGAGGCTAGAATGCTTTTTTCCTGCTCCTCATTTTGATTGCAACTTTTAATTATTGCCTGGTGAAAATAAGTTATGCAGATTTCCCTGCATTCTGGATGAGAGGAGATTTTCTAGAGTAGCTTTAGGCTTTGAAACCTTTATTTTCTGTAAAATATCACTCCTATTTTTCTGCACTGAAGCGTCTCTGTGTGATGATTAACATTGCAGTGAGGTTAGCAGCTGCATTTTAAGCCCGGTAGGGCAGCTGGAACAGAGAGATCTCTAACCAAAGCGCAAAGCTTGATGATGAACAAAGAAAACCATCCTCTCCTGCTCCTATCAGATGTCTATGTATATATGTATACCCATCATCATCCTAAATGCCTTCAAAAGGGTTCTTTCATACTTATAGCTGGATATTAAATCTGTCTAAGTTTCATTTGTATAGTTAATCAAAATGAGGAGATTTCTTGCCAGTAACTTGTTTTTTAAATGCATCTAACACATTTTCTATAAGCATGAGGTTGAGGTTATGCAAAGTGCATAATGATAGCCTACTCTATATACAGTGGGTATGGGAAGTATTCCGACCCGTTTAAAGCTTTCACTGTTTGTTTCATTGCAGCTACTTGCAAAAATCAATAAAGTAAATTTTATTTCTCATTATTGTACACTCGGCACCCCATCTTGACAGAAAAAAAAAGAAAAAACCAAAATTTTGCAAAATTCCGAAAAACCAAAAAACGAAAAAACAAAAGGGCAAAAAGAATCAAAACACTTGCCTCGGAATGAAGAAAACCAACCCTTTGAAGGAAGAAAACCAAGAAGCCTCCCGAGAAAGAAGCAACAAAGTGCAAAAGAAGCCTCCAACCAAAAATGAACAAAAGGGCCGAAAAACTAAAAAAAATTGAAAATTCAAGGGTCCAATTTTAAATTGAAATTGCAAAAAAGGCCAAAATTGGTGGTTTTTTTTCTCTGTCAAAATGGGGTGCTGAGTTTACATTAATGAGAAATAATCGGTTTTAGCAAATGGCTGCAATGAAACAAAATGAAAAATTTAAAGGGGTCTGAATACTTTCCGTACCCACTGTATACTTATACCAGTTTTAACTGTGTTATTAATGACCTAAGAATACTTTAACACTAAACAAACATGGTAGTGTTTGTCATTCTGTGGGGCTGCTTAGCTGCCAGCAGTCTGATCCTGCTAGAATTTAGAAAAAATAACTAAAATATAAGACTGCCGGTGATTTTTTTTTTTTTTTTTTTCCCAACGTAATCTCAGATCAACAGCTAGAAACTGTTTCAAACTTTGATAGGACAGTGGTCCTGTATGCATTAGCACTAAGTCTAAGCTTTGTCATCAAAGAACCGCCGAGGTTTATCATGGTTCCACTGGTGGCTCAGATAAAGACTGTTAAACAGCCTTTTAATCAAGATGTTAAGCATCTGAGAAGAGCTGTGCTAACTATTTACAAGCTTAAAATGTTGTTCCTCAGACCTTAGTTGAAGAAAAAAGGAATGATGTGAAAATGCTAAAAGGTGTTTATTAAAACACTGGCTTAATGCTGAGGCTAAGTTATGTTTTGTATTCATTAATCAACAAGACAAAGTCAACTTTCCAAACCTCCTTCTGTGTCAAATTCTCCATAATCCCCACCAGTTCAGAAGCTGTTTGTTCTCCTAAAAGTCGTGTCTCTAAGCTGCAGATCGAACCTTGTTGTTGTTTCCTGACTTACCTCCTTTCCTCGTGTCTCCTTTCCTTCCCTTCTCCTCTGCCTCTCACTCACCATGTCCGTCCGACACACAAGATTCAAAAACTGGAGGTAAACGCTGTCATTTCAAGCTGCTCACTTAATTCGTTTTACCTTCAGGAATTTGGTTTCTTGTCAAAGTCTTGTCAAACAGTATTATTTTTATTTTTTTTCACTGCAGACCATTTGTTTTTTTTTATTGCCTTGTATGTTACCGTTTAACCATCTCCTCCCTATAGAGTCCATTAAATACACACTTTAATGGACACACTAAGCAAGACTCTTAACAATCATCCTCTGATTTGCAGATGACCATATCCCAACTAAAAGCCGAGCTGGAGAAGGGTCCACAGGAAGCCGCTGTCTACACACAACAGATCCACGAGCTGCAGGGCAACCTCAATAATTTACAGCAACAATGTCAGGTAATCTTTACTGAAACAACCATTAAAGGTCTTCCTTAAGGAATAGCTGCAGCCAAAAACGTGTCTTCACAGTGAGAAATGTGTGTGTGATTTAATATCCATCTTAACTACAGACATTTACTGACATTTATGATGTTAAGCACTATTAATAAACCAGGAGAGGAGTGTTTGCTGCCTTCTCAGTCAGCTTTTAAATGTAATAACAGCCAGGTTATGTGATCAGTGCAATGGGAGGAGAGGAATGCAGTGCAGCGATTAAAATGTCTCTCAGCGAGCTCGGATGTGGCACCCCCAAGGAGGAATAAGTTGAGTTTGTTTACAGATGCCAGAGGATCTCCAGTCTGATGCCCCTTTTTGTTCTGATAATTAGTAGATTGCTTTATTCTTTGTGGACATAGTTGGACAGGTGAGTGTATTGGTCTGTAACTCCAAGATTAGAAGAGGAGACACCAAAGAAAGCTGTTTAGTGTGTTTGTTATACATGTGTCCTGTTACAAATACAAGGTTAGCCGCCTACCTTATCGCCAGCAGCTATTTGTGTTTTTTGTTGTTTTTTTTCTATTATTGACTCCGATATCAAATATTTGTATTTGTAAATATTTGGGATTCTTCTCTTTGTTTCATTCTTCGAAAGAAAAACTAGAATAAGCTGAGCTCTGATATGTCCANCGTCAACCATTGACTTTGCATGTAAACTCGCTGCTTCTGCTGCGCCTGCTGGGTCCGGTTCACACCGATGTCAAGCGGTTGAATAACAGCGAGCACAGAATTAATTTGTTTCACCATGTTTTTCACATCAGCTGTGAGATGGGCACGCATGGAGTCACATATTAACAGCGATGGTGATTAGTGGAAAAAAAACACCTGGTCTCCTTACATTCAGCCACTCTTTCATCATCTCCTCAATGAGGTGGTCTCAAAAGTTGCAGTTACAACACACATATGGCGCACCGCACCAAAGGGCGCACCGCACATTTTGAGGGGAAAAAAGACATTTATATGCACCTTATAGTTGTGAAAATACAGTACATGTGTCCTGTTACAAATCCAAGGTTAGCAGCCTACCTTATCACCAGCAGCTATTTGTGTTTTTTGTTGTTTTTTTTTTTCTTTTATTGACTCCGTTATCAAATATTTGTATTAGTAAATATTTGGGATTCTTCTCTTTGTTTCATTCTTCGAAAGAAAAACTAGAATAAGCTGAGCTCTGATATGTCCAAAGTATCTGATAATCAAACTGTTTTGACAGCAAAACAAGCTCAAAAGTCTCACTTGACAATAACATGACAATAAAGTTGTTTTTAAAAGATATTAGGATGAAACTGCATAAAAATAGTTTGTGATTTTTATTAAACTAATGAGATCATGAAGCTATTATTGCAATAAACAACCTTTAAGATTAGTTTATAAGACTTAAATTCCTGAAGTATAGTCACAAGAAAAAAGCTTAAAGTCATTAGGTGATGTTATCTTAGGTGGCTAACACTGCTAACATGGCAAAACAAGTGAGAACATCCTGTTTTCTAAATATGAGATAATGAACCTTGTATTTTAAAGATAAAGTTTGACACCTGATTATCTTAATATAATTCAATTCAGTTTTCAATTCAATTCAGTTTACATATAAGTTTTTTCTATATAAGGAAAACCAACTGATTGCATCGACTCATTGATTCGAAGGCAATCCGTCACACCAAACATGCTTGTAGCGACAGTAGTGAGGAAAAACTGGTTTTTAACATTAAGAAACCTCCAGCAGAACAGGGCTCAGTTCCATACAGTTAGTCACGGTCAGAGAAACAGGACTTCACTGAAAAACAGGCCAACATTTATAAACAAAGGTGTTGATGGCAACAGCACAGCTGATATTTCTGTCCAGGATGCTGTCACACCCAAGCAGGAACAGACCAGATGAAGCTACTTTGATGAGGAAAAAGCAGAGACAGCGTAATGTTACAGATTGAACTAACAAATTCTGTGGAATGGGAGAATAAAGATGGAATGAAACAGAATAATGAAAAGTGGTCCCTATGTCCTCCAGCAGTCTAAGCCTATATCAGCATAACTATATAACTATAACATGAGCCACTCCAACTATAAGCTTTATCAAAAAGGACAGTTTTAAGCCTAGCCTTAAAAGTAGACAGGGTGTCTGCCTCACGGACTAAAACTGGTAGTTGGTTCCACAGGAGAGGAGCCTGATAACTAAAAGATCTGCCTCCCATGCTATTTTTAGAAATTCTAGGAACCACTAGTAAACCTGCAGATTGAGAGTGAAGTGCTCTGTTGGGAACATCATAAAAAAACATAAAACAAATCTGAATCAACAAGCTCAGCTCAAGGTCTTGTTATTTTACTGTGCGTTCTGTCTTTCTTCTCCCAGAGCCTCTCTGAAAAGCTTGTGCGTAAGGAGAAGGAGCACCAGGAGCTAGAGGAGCACCTGGGAGCAGAGAAAGCTGCCAAGAAGGGAGTACAGGACAGCCTGAGGGAGAAGGAGTCAGAGGTGCAGGAGCTGCAGGCTAGAGCCTCGGGGGCCGAAACGTCCCTTCACAAGGCCCAGACCGAGCTGGCGGAGAGGGCGGAGGAGGTGTCCAAGCTGAAGGCTGAGCTGGCAGAGCTGGAGGTGAAGCACGCAGAGCTGAAGGTGGAGAGGAAGCAGCTTGAACATCAAAGAGAGGAAAAAGAAAGCCAAGGTGCCCAGCAGCAGACGGAGATCAGTCAGGTGAGATTATCAGCTGCGTTTATTCAGATTAAACCTCCAAAGGAAAAAAAAAGGAAGGTTTCCCTGTGAAATATGGGGAGTATAGCACTAATGGATTAAGATTCTGTTCTGAGCTCCACTGCAAGGATTAACTGGATTAACTTTTCGTACTCATCCATGTTTTGAATTACATTTATGACTCCAGCTTGAACTATTTTTTAAATTTTCCCCTAATCTGTCATGAAATAAACAGAAAAAACAAAACATCATTAATGAACTAGTAAATGACTCCCTGCACTGCCTAGCCGTTTCTCATCTTTCTTTCCTCTCACTGACCTCATCTGCAGTGGCTAAACGACAAAACATCTGTTTTCATTCACATACTGTATTATAATAGTTTAACTGAGTGAAAAGAAAACCTTGATTCAAAATCCCTCCATTTTGCACTGCGTTTATAACTGAGGTCACTTTTAATCCTCTATAGGCTGAATTCGTTCCTTTATTTTTTTATGTCACAGTCAAAAAATTAACAGTAACAGCAAATAGCTCCCAAATATGAGTATTTTAAAACCATAAAATCAGGTTATCTCCACATAGTCAGTATTTTGCTTTCAGTTAGCCGCATGCAGGATGAGCTGAGGGAGGAATTCAGAGCATAAACACAAACTTCAAACATTCGGTTAACATTCTTTATGAAGAAATGTGCCTTAGACAGTTAAAAGCAGAAATGATGGAAAGACCAAATTAACCTCTATAGGCCTTCGTAAAGCTAACTCCATACTGATTAAGAGCTAAAAATGCTCAGCAAACTCTAAGGGAAGTTTCTGAGAGGAAATGCTGGATTTTTTCCCCCCTGTAAAATATAACAAATGTGCCTCTAATAATGCCTGAGTAGATCTTTTGCTCAAACTTAAATTGCTGTAAAACAATGTCAAAAGTCCTGGTTACATCCCTCACATAGAAATAGCAACACTGATATCCTTTGAGTTTTGGTTCTGAATGCTAAACTAATATTGCTAACCCCAAATGCTGAGCTCACAGTAAAAATAGATTTTTTTTTTTTTGCCCCTTTATAGTAAATTACACATGGTCTGTCAAAACTAGGACGTATTAAAATTATGAGGGGAAAATGTAAGATAAATTGAAATGATGATAGAAAAAGTCCAGTTTATTAACCAGAAAATAGTTATAATTATGGAAAAAATTACAGAATTATGATCAAAGGTAGATATTTATGATTGAACGTCATAGTTTTGATTGAAATTAAAATAATGTGGAGAAAAGTTTTGATTATGGTAAAAAAGCCTGATAATTATGTCTGTGGAAGTTGAAACAATGACATCCCATGTGTTGTAAATGAATCTCTAGTGTGAGAAAAGGGCTTCCTTAGGTATTTCTCCCCATTTATAATTGTCTTTTTACTTCTGTGTTGCTGCAGCTGCACACCAAGCTGCTGGAGGCTGAGAGGCAGGTGGGCGAGCTGCAGGGTCGTCTGAAGGAGCAGAGGCAGCTGTCTGGAGAGAAACTAAAGGACAAAGAGCAGCAAGCAGCTGACCTCCAGCTCAAACTATCCCGCACAGAAGAGCAGGTCAGGATCTGCACAAACTTTTTACCAGTTTTATCACATCATTTGAAAGTGATTCCATCTCATTTCCAAAGCCTGGAAACTAGAACCTTTTACTAAATGTAGAACCAGAATAAGATCCAAATTCACTTCATATCAAGGTGGCAATAACCAAAGAATGCGTCTGGGTTTTCCTCCAGCTGAAGGAGAGCTCCAGTAAGAACTCGGAGCTACAGCACCAGTTAGAGAAAGCCAAGCAGCAGCACCAGGAGCTGCAGGCGCTGCAGCAGAACACCAACGGCAAACTGAGGGAGGCGCAGGTACAGCTCACCTCTACATCCCCTCATCTGAAATGATGTCCTGTAGAAGCATTAGCAACCTCTTTCACTTTTTCCAGTTTTTTCTTGGTATAACAAAAAACTGAATATCTAGTAACCCAACTTAAAGTAGTTATAAAGTGGAAGCAAATGGATTGTAGTTTTCCTTTTCTTCAATTTCCATTTAACTCGCCTAATTTAGTTGGATTTAGTTCTGGACACTAAGCTGCTCTTTTGGGTCTCTGTAGAATGACCTGGAGCAGGTGCTGCGTCAGATTGGAGATAAAGACCAGAAGATCCAGAACCTGGAGGCTCTACTTCAGAAAAGTAAAGACATTGTGAGCCAGCTGGAAGCTGAGAGGGAGGACCTGTGTGCCAAGATCCAGGCTGGGGAGGGAGAGACGGCTGTGCTTAACCAGCTCAAAGAGAAGAACCATGCTCTGCATGAACAGGTGGAGCTCTGCAGGCTGCCAAATCTAAGAACATTTTATACCTATCTATACATGTATCTGCATGTTTGCAGTTTAGAAACTCCAGAGAATGACCTTCTTGGATTTTTGTTTCTTTCACCTGGGACTTTCAAAGGTCGCACAGTTGACCGACAAGCTGAAGAACCAATCAGAGAGCAACAAGCAGGCCCAGGATAACCTTCACAAACAGGTCCAAGAGCAGAAGACTCAGCTGCGCTCAGCGCAGGACAGAGCTCACACCCTGGAGACGTCAGTCAGCGAGCTCAGCGCTCAGCTCGCCGACAGCAAGGAGAAAGTTTCCCAGCTGGACGCGCAGGTAAGAACCTCACTTTTCAATCAGAACTTCAAGCAGCGTGCTGTCGGAATAACAACTTTTTATCGTTCTCTTTAAGCTTAAGGCCAAAACAGAGTTGCTTCTGTCTTCAGAGGCCTCCAAAGCTGCACAGAAGGCCGACCTGGAGAACAGCCTGGAGGCTTCCCAGCATGCACTGCAGGACAAACAGCAGGTTCGTTTTCATCTGAAACCATTCCCTTCTGAGTTTTCTGCAATGTTTTACATCTCTCTCTGCTCAGTTTCTGTTCAACTTCCCTCTAAATCCATCGTTATGTGATGCAGGAACTGCAAAAAGCTCAGAAGAAGGTTGAGGAGCAGAACCAGAAGCTCAGAGAGAGACAGGAGCTGTTCGCTCAGCTGGAAACCAATCTGAAAGAATGTAAGGACAAACTGCTGGCCTCAGAGCAGCGGGTGGAGCAGCTGGAGGGGCTCACTAAGGTTTGTGTTTGTAACATGATCACAGTCATCAGAGATTTTGCTGAAGGAGATAAAGCTTTGAAATGTAGCCGCTTTGCTTTGTTTAAACAGAAACTGGAATCACAGGTGGTGGAGGTCCAGACTGCAAAAGATCAGCTGCAGCAGGAGGTGCAGAAGCTGCAGAAGGAGAGTTCAGAGGTTAAACGGAAAGCAAAGGAGCTGCAACGCTCGCTGGAAACGGAGAAAGAAGGGTGAGATAAGCATTTTAACTAATGATTTCTTAGTTCTTTAACAGCTCTTAATAAGGTGAACATGTTTTTTCTTCACTAAGTGCTAAGAATCTGCATGAGGAGGTGCAGAAAAAAGCTGCTGCTCTGACTGGTGTGCAGCAGCAGCTGGAGCGCTGCGAGCAGGAAATGGCTGCTCTGAGGGAGAACTTGGACAAGGTGACCCGGGAGGGAAAGACTCAGCAAGCAGAACTGGACAGGAAGGCTCAGAGTCTGACTGCAGAGCTGCAGAAAACCCAACAGGAGAAAGAAGCGCAAAGGAAAGAGCTCTTAACTACTCAGGAGAACCTTCAAAAGGCTAATAAGGCTCTGAAAGAGTGTCAAAACCAGCTGGAGACTGAGAGGAAGAACCATAAATCAGCAATGGCGGAGAAGGTGGCTTTGAAATTCAGCCTGTATCCAATAAATAACCACTGATGTAAAACAGGAAGAGAATGAAAGAAATATTGTGTTTTAATCTTCAGGAAAAGTCTCACGAAAAGGCAAAAAAGGAGCTTCTAAAAACAAACGAGGCCATCACAAAGAAAATGAATGAATCGACGGAGCAGCTGGGGCGAACGAAAGAGGTAAGGCTCTAAATACCAATCAGCCGATCAATCTTTTCTACTTCAGGTTCAACTCCTTACATGATTTGTTTCTTTAAATGTCAGGCGGAGCAAACGTTGAAAGCACAGCTGGCATCATTAGAGCAGCAGCATTTGAAGACTCAGGGGGCGCTGAAGGAAAAGGAGGCTCAGATGGATGGGCTGCAGGATCAGCTGAAAACTGTCCAGAGCTCCTTAGAGGAGGAGCTGAAGAAACTGAAGGACCAAGCGGCTCAGCTGCAGGAAGCAGGTGTCAAGAAGGTGAGAGGCTGCTTTAAACTAGGATTCAGATTGATCTGAACAGGGGAAAAGGAGAATATGCTTATTGACTCTTATATCCAGGCGGAGGAGGAGAGTAAACTAAAGGCTCAGGTATCAGAGCTCAGCCAGGATCTGTCCTCTGAGAGGAGCCGGGCGAAGGAGTTGCAGAAGGTTGTGGAGCAAAGCCAGGAAAACCTTAAAAAGCTGCAGTCCGACTTCTACGGCAAAGAGTCCGAGGCGTCGGCTCTGCGTCAGGACCTGAAGGTACTGGAGCATGAATCAGAAACTCTTCATCCCTTTAGACCCTTCTAGGTTTTTTTAATTCCACCTCCAATCATCAGGGTATTTAGATTGACTTTAAGCCTTCAAACAGCAGCTGGAATTATTATTATATTACTAGTTGTTTGACTACTGAAGGCAACATGTTAAAGTGGGTTTATTTGGTGCAGATAGAATAAGGGGGGCTGAATCTGACTTTTGTTTGTCTAAAAAAGAAAAATACATATTTTTCCTTTCATGTAAGGTTTTACGTCTTTTTTTTGTTTAACATTAAAGTTCTGAGTTGTAATGTGACTAAATGTGACCTTCCTGCAATGCTGCATTCTTCTGACACGTCAAAGTAAGCGATGCTTTGTGGTTGCAGACCTCACAGGAGAAACTGAGCGAGGCCCAGGAGGAGCTCGCTGCCAACCGAACCCATCAGACGGGTTTAGAGACTCAGATTCAGGAGCTGAAGGAGGCCCGGTCAGCACTGGAGCAGGAACTCCTCCAACGGCATCAGGAGCTCCAGCAGCAACAGCAAAGTCTGAGGGGGCTGCAGAAGCAAGAGGTCGGTTTAAACAACCGTTAACACCTTATATTTAAGTCCTTTTTCACTCAGTGTGAAAACTTGTGCAGGAGCAAGTTAGAGAGGAACTGCTGAAGGAAAGAAGCAAGGTGGAGGAGCTGAGCAAAACCAAGGAGGAGCTGGGAAAAAACAACATTAAACTAAGTTCAGAGCTGAAAACACTGGCAGAGAAAAGTGAGAAGGTGGGTCAGTTCAGCACAACCTCTAATACTGTGACCTAAAGTAACATATTCTCTTTATTTAGCATCCAAACATGTCGGAAAATGAATAAAAGCTCTGCTTGTCGGGTTTTAGGAGCTGGGCGAGTTGCAGGAAGCCAAGCAGCTTCTGATCCAGCAGAAACTGGAGCTGCAGAGTCAGGTGGAGGCAGCGCAGGGAGCACTCAAGGAGGAGCAGAAGGAGCACCAAGCCACCAGGGACAGCAGGAGCAAACGAGAGGAGCAGCTCCTCGCCCAGACGAAACAAGTCCAGGATCAACTCGTAAGCCCCCCCCTCTTTCAAACAAACAGCAGTATTTCTTCCCGCCTATTCAACTTCCATTCTGTCCTTCCACAGGGAGCGGAGAGGAGAGCCAGAGAGGAGCAGGTGAAGCGTGGGGAGGAGGCTGAGGCTAAGCTGAGCATTCAAGTCACTGCCCTGAATGAAAACGTGGCCACGCTGAAGAGGGAGTGGCAGAGCAGCCAGCGCCGAGTCAGCGAACTGGAGAAGCAGACGGATGAGCTGAGAGGGGAGATTGCTGTGCTAGAAGCAACCGTCCAAAACAACCAGGATGAACGGCGGGCTCTGCTGGAGAGGTCAGTAAGCGACGCTTTACGCAGCGCAGGCTGAAAGAATATCCAGACCTTGGAGAGTTTCATGTTGTTCTTTTTTTAAATGAAGTTAATGTCCTGAACATTTGCAGCTGTGAAGGACGACCCTGATGGGCAATAAACATTAAAAGGAAGTACAGGGATTTAATAGAGGAACAAAGATTGGCTTGATTTTATCCTTTGAAATCTTAGGAAAGGTTTTACAGTCTGACTTTGAGAATACAAGGTGGAAATATCTTTATTTTATTGGAAAAATCCTTTTAGTATTTTTTTTTCCTCTGATAGACATAGTGAGCTGATTTATTACAAATTATAAAACAAATCTATAATCAAATCTGAACATTTAACCGGAGAAAAGTCAGTTTCTGACCAAGAACATTTTAAAATGCATCCGCTGCTCCTAATTCAGAAGTTAAATAGCGCTGCAGGGACAGCTGGTCGTACGGCACACAGTGAAAAAGGTGGATGCAAGTCTGGGCCAATCAGAAAGCTTTACTTTATCACCATCATTCAGGAAAAAAAAAACATCTTTCCATGTTGTATAAATACCCAGAACCGATCTGTGCGTCGTTTGTCTCGCAGGTGTGTTGCAGGCGAAGGTGAGATAGAGAAGCTGCAGGCCAAAGTGGTGGAGCTCCGCAGGAAACTGGACGACACCACAGCAGCCATGCAGGAGCTCGGCAGGGAGAACCAGTCGCTGCAGGTAAGGCGGGGCTCACAGGCCGGTTGATGCTGTTTTTTTCTCCAACTATAACGTTGCCGATGTCTGCAGATTAAACAGTCACAAAGTCTGACCAGGAAGTGGGCAGAGGACCACGAAGTTCAGAACTGCATGGCCTGTGGGAAAGGCTTCAGCGTCACAGTCCGAAAGGTGAGCTCTCCTCAACGTTCTGCTTATTCACAGCCAGAAACGTCTCCTCACTCAATGCCCATCTCTCCTTTCCTCTCTGAAACCGCAGCATCACTGTCGACACTGTGGTAACATCTTCTGCGCCGAGTGTTCAGCGAAGAGCGCCCTCACGCCGTCTTCTAAGAAGCCTGTACGGGTCTGCGAAACGTGCTTCGAGGAGCTCCAAGGCTGATTTATTTATTTCTTTTCCGTGTTTTCCTGCCCCTTAACTCCTTCCCTTTGAATCCTGTCTATTCCCTGCCAGCAGAAGACGGCTCGTCTTTATCATTTTTTGATGTGCACTAATGAAAAACAGATTCCCCTCCCGCTGCATAGGCCTCCTGGCCCTAATGTGGAGGGATTGACTGAAGAGATGCTGCTGGGATGCAGTGGCAGAGACCGTCTGTATCTGTTTTTGTGCCTTTTGCTACTCCTTTGGACTGCCAGAGAGCGGAGTCTGTGATGAGGAAGCCTGCTCATCATGTTCATGTTCACGTCTCCATCAGTGTTGGTGCATCAGCAGCAGTTGTGATATAGCTGCTTTGATCTTGGTTCATGTTTTGCTGGTGTCACCAGTGACCGCTCAGTGCAGTTCTGCCATGCAAAGGTAAAAGCAGGCAACGTTTCTAATGGTTTGTGTTTAATCATAGAATCTTGAATTAAAACAAATAACTCTTAAACCGATGCTTATAAATAAAGAGTTTAACCTAAATAAAACGCTAATTTTCTATAATTTATCACTTAACCAACAAACAATATGTGGGTTCTTAAAGTTGCCAATTTGACACCAGAATCTTTGTAAAGATGCACTGATCAGGCTTTTCTGGCCAATAATCTACTCTATTTTTTTCCTTTTAATATCTGAGCTGCTTATATTGATTTTAAGAATTAATTTTTTCCCTCTGGACAAAACCCTAAACAGGAAAGGTATCCTGCAGGTAATTTTTTATCAGTAGATTTTAATCCTACAGAAAACTATGATGCTCCAATATTTATGCATTGAAAACCAAATATCCTCCATTAAACTACATGAGGTCAGTTGATGCTCTGAATGACTTCAATCAAGTGGGAGGTTTTAGTTTTTAGGTAGTAAATACATTTTTCATTAAATCAACCTGCCAAACACACTGATCTCAATTATTATATAGGTACAATTATCATGAAGCTATATCTGAAGTATTATATCCTTTTGAGTTCACTAATTGGGGTTCTGATTTTTTTATCATTCCAGTTTAATCTAGAAATGAAACTCTGAGCTATCTCAGTTTTTCTTTTTTATTTTGCACCTGAAAGCTAAAACATTTTAAAAAGGATTCTTGCATTTCTGCAGGCGTTTTCTTTGAGTGAAACAGAGAACTCTGATCTCTGGCCAGCTGATGAATGCATCTGCTTAATTGGTGAATGTTTCTTAGTCTATTGGCTTTAGTATTTATTCATTATGTGTAGAATTTAATAAATAAATACTTAAATGTAGGCTTTAAAATTAAAGAACATGCACTGTGTAGATCATTTTTGTTTTGATTTCTCCTGTGATTGGTCACCAGCTACCATCTGGTCCTGTACAGAATCTGACCCAGTTGCTACAGCCTGCTGTTTTTGTTTGCTAATCTGCAGAAATGTATGTATGATGACCATTTCATGACCAAAGAATGTCTGCAGTACAGTTTGTAGTAGCCGTTAAAGCTTTTGTTGTTATTTTCTTCAGTTTGAGGTGCTTTCTAAACACTGCTGATGCAGTAACTGAAGGTGCCTCCATGTGTTAATTTAATTTCCCCTGCAATTCAACAGCACTGATTGTGTTTTGCGCTCTGCTTTGAAGCAATAACTGCAGTGGCGTGTGCGTCAGTTTGCTGCCTGGGACAGCGAAGTTCAGCAACCGGTGCCGGTTCTCCGTCCATCTGAGAACGCTGCTCAGTTGAACTCTTTGCTCTTTTTATTTATAATTGCTTGTGGGTTCTGATAGGATCTCATGTGTTTTACATTTTGTTGACTGGATCAGGTGGAAACACTGTAAAGAAGATTATGCACCGTTCTCTGCAGTTCGTCTCAGATTCACCAAATTAGCTCCTGAATGCTCATTACAAACGAATGTCCATTTCACCTGCTGGAAAAGGTTTCTTTGTGCTAAATCGGTTTCATGCCTACCTCAGTTTGGCCGAAAAAAGCATTATTTCTAGATTATGGGCATCATAAATGTTTCTCCACTTGCATCTGATACAGGATCTAGGATTGGTGAGAGGTTTTGCACCTTAATCTACGCTGGGCTCCTATTGGCTGAGACTGCAGCCTCAAACAGGACAACCCACTTTATACAGGCTTCAGCATCTCCTGCTCATCATAATTATCTTTGTAAATGTTTGTAATGAGAGAGGTGAATTACTTATATGTGGCCGTAGAGATGTGAAACAGTGTTTGGATTGCACTCATTTTAACAAAGGGAACCACAGACTTTGCTTCAGATGCAACGACTCGTGGCTTCGTGCGTGTTGCCGTCGGTTTTCGTGCATGATGGCTCAATGTTTTTATCTGTTTTGGTTGTGAAGGTGGGCCTGAACCCAGGTTCCACTGCTGCTCACTGAGATCTTGTATTAGTCTGGGTTGCTTCGTGTGACCTGCATGGATGAGGGAGGTGGTGTACTTTGTGTTCACATGCACCAGTTGATTTTTCCTATCTGTTGACATGGAACCGCTAAATAAAGACCTGCAGTATGTTTCTATAAATCTGTTGGGTGTTTGTACTTCTAATGAACATCATGCATGACCAGCAGCTTATCTATCTTGGACGCATCCAGGAAACAATTCTAGAAGTCATGTCTCCATTTCTTTCTTTCACCAATGTCTTTTAATCATCTATTTTAATGTGTTCCTATAAAAAAAAAAAAAAAATCACATTTGCCAAAAGCTTCTTTTAAAATCCAAAACAGTTTGAAAGGAAACTACGTGGGCATTATATCTGACATTAGATATTTATTGTACACTAACATATCAGCTGCCTTTAAAGGCAAACAGTTTAGAAAATAATCCTAGAATTGGAGCAGCTACTTTCACCGACGCGATGGGACGGATTCAGATGGGACATTCTGCTGGAGGGGATCAGATCTGGGAGGACTCCAGCCACAGTGAGGAGCTCTTGACTCGCGGCTGCTGAGAGTCCAGCTTCAGCAGCGCCGCTACAGCACCCTCTATCTTCGACATCCATTCCCTCTGGAAAAAGTGGTAGAAAGACGAGGTCAGGAGAAAAAAATTACACCACTCGTTTAGATTTTACCACATTTCACTTCGAAGACTATATAAAGCACCCCTTCATATGGACAAAAACATTTTAAACGAATACTTTCATTAAACAACTAGGAGTAAGTTTTAATGTGTTTAAATATAAAGTCATAGATTAGTTTAAGGAAATGCATAATTGTAAAACAATGAACTAATCTGAAAAGTGCATCATGCATTTGTATGCAGCCTAAAGATGTCTGTAAATCTGTCCATAAGTAGTCCCAGCATTCTGTTCAGATATAATAATCATTTAGAATAGGCTGAAAAGTGGCCAATATGTTGACATAAATGCTCTGGAATTGAATTGACTCAAACCATTCTGCTCAAAGCTGGTAAAACAAAAATTTGTAACGATTCGGCAACAGGCCAGTACTAGGTGGGACGTTTTATAGCATCCAAAGCAGGCGTGTACATTTGATATGTCCCACTCAGTACAGATAAAGAACTATGGACAGGAAGCCTCCAGCCTCCTCTTCCTACACCCTTTTTTACAGCAAACACTATTTGGACTTATCATGGAGACAAGTGACGCAGTTCCGCTTTGAATGAAGAGCCTGTACTGATTAGCACCGTTAGGATGGACCCATGGAGTGTTACGGATCAGGAAGATAAATCAGCTGATGCCTGCGAGTCGAAGCTTAGAGACTCCTAACCTAAAATACCTGTTGCTGTCTGCATGCCAGTGGTGGTACTACTAAGTATAAGTACAGTTTAAGGGGTGAATATGAATGCATCACTGTTTTCAAATTATACAAACCTATGTTACTTTTTTTTCACACTTATGCACTACTTAGTCTGTGGTTGCAGTCTCACTTTTTCTCGCTTTCTTGTTTTGACAAAAAAAAAAGTCTCCTTTCAGCCCTCATTCAAGTGCATGACTTCTTAGACATGTCATTTTCAGGGTTGAATAGATCTACCTTGGCTGACTCTGAGGCAGCTTGCAGAATGAATGCACCGATGCACTGTTGGTACCGGTTGTGGTGCATTATGATGAAAGAATGTGGCAGCCCTGATGCTGAGAAGAAAGCAGAGAGAACAAACAATATGTAAACAGAGCTGTGACCCAGCGCAGAAAGAAAATGGCTGGATGAAGGTGAGTTACTGGAAGCATTTAGCTGATCAATGTTCTTAAGCTGCATGCGGTCTAGAGAGATGGGCTGATCAAGAACAGTAAAGGTGCATCCCTCCTTCAGCAGCTGATCCAGCTCCAGGTTCTGCTGCAGCCTCAGGTGGTTCTGCTCAGAACTAACAGACCTCTGAGCACAAAATTAAAGAAAAAATGTGCAAAAGCTTAGGCACAAGTCTTTTTCACACCACATCCATCCAGATCAGACAGTTCATACCTTCTTGTTTCGCTTTATCTTTGTGATCAGCAGGAATTCGTCAAACAGGAACAGATAAACATCTATGAGCTTTGTGTTCTCTGGTGATGAACCAAGGAAAGATACTCTTGAGATTTGGCACAAATTAAAACATGTGAGATTAGTTGGATTTCATCCAGCGGTAGATACCTGAGAGCACCAGCTTTCCTTCCAGCAGCAGACTTCTGTGGGGTATCAGGTTGTCCAGAGTGACAGCCTTTAGGAGATGTTTCAGACTCTGCAACAGAACAGAACACTTAGCTCAGATCTAAGTTCCACACAGGGTCAAATTATTTCTGATTTTTCACAGCATTTTACGCATAAATATTTGTAATGATCAAGTTTTGTGATATATCTGTGAACATGTAAAATGCACACAGATGTTGATAAAAAGAAAACCCAGGCAGACCTCTGGGATGAAGGCGCGTTTATCTCTTTCCCAAACAGGCAGCCACACGAGCGCATCTCTCAGTAGTTTCATCTTCTGGTAATTATCCAGCCACTTGACCTTCCCCTCCAAATCACCTGCAAACAGAACAAACACAACTGAATATCTAAAGGGGACAATGAGGACAGTGGTAGATTTTTTTTTTATATGAATGCAAATCAATAAGCTGAATTGGAATTTGACCCTAAAAAATGTGTATTAAACATGAGGGGTACACTGCAGCATCCAGCATGATGGATCTGAACATGACAGCCATAGAGCTGCATCACAGAAATAAGGTCAGAGGTTTAAAACCTTCTCTCTTTGATCCTCTGGCACATGACAGTCTGCATTACCCTTATATGTGTGAGCCGTTCAGACCGTTAGTCCCGTGTTTCTCTATAAACAGCTGTACAGACGCGCTGATGAGCCCGCAGCTGTGTTAAACAGGTCAGTTTACTACGATCACTGCTATCCTTCAAAATGTCTGAGACAGAAAACTTTGACATTCTTTCTGTTTTAGATGTAGATTTTGCAAAAAAAAAAAAAAAATATATATATATATATATATACTATTCAAATTAATTACCCGAATGAGCTTTTTAAAACATTACAACAAATGTTGCACAGATTACCTACTGTAGGTTTATGATGTAAAGGCTCACTTCTGTCACTATTTGGAAATAAACTGAATCAGAAAGGCTTTGAACTATTCTATCAGAATCTGTCTAAACTCCTAAATATAACACTGTTCCTACAAAAACTTTTTTTGTTTTGATATTTGATGAAAATTAATACTGTTTGGAGGGAAATACAGGATTTAGTTATTTATCAAAATAGTTTTATGGTCTTTTAGAATTGTAATATTTTCCCTTTACCGATATTCAGAGAGAAATGTCAGATGAAGCTCTTTTTCATGGCACCTAAGCTCATTACAGAGTGACGGCACACTAAAGAAACTTTAGCTTATTGTATTCATGAGCTGTGTGGTGATGCCAAACATGGGTGTGACTGGAGTTCGTGAGAGATTACAGCTCTTCCAGCTTTTATGGTAAATATTCTCCACGCCCATAGAGGACATTGGCCTCCATATTTCAGCCATGACTCTAAACTCCCATGAGCTGCTCCTTTTATGATCCCAGCCATTAAAGAGGTGCGTTGCAGTAGATAGACAGACAGGTTGCAATAAAAAAACAAACTGAAAATGTTAGAACTGTAAATTTACAGTCATATGTTTGTATTACTGCTTTTATATATTTTTTACTATTTTTCAAGGCTGCACTTTAAAAAAAAATGAAATTGTCCAGAGAGCTGTTTCTAAAAGAAATTTCTTTTTGTTTTACACTCGTGTAAACAAAATGACAAATAAATCTAAGTCTAATTAAAACAGTGGTAGGGTAACTGAATATTTAATTACTACAGGTTTTTAGTCCAAAAGTACAAAATGACACCAAAGCAAATGGCTGCAGAGCTTTTTCCACATCCTGTCCTTCTAGTTAAAGAACAAACTGCCGTAACAGGTCTGCTGGCTGCTGTCCAAAACAAATGAGCCTTGTACGTTTTAAAGACATTAGTTGGTTTGTCCTGAGGCTTAAACCAAACTGACATCTGCTTTATATGTGATTTGGATTCTAATATGATTGTAAACAGAGATATACTTGATGTTGTGTCATTCAGTTGTCTTCTCCCAATATCTATAAGATCTGTTTAACAAATCTTACTGCTAACCATGCAAAACCCAATTATTCACCCAGCGATAAGGCCAAAACCATGAAAAGTAGTGATATGCATCATAGATGAAAATATTTCAGGAGAGAGTGCCTGCTGCTCACATATAGACTTCTCCACTCTCTCAGCTATAAGCTGCAGCTCTCGGCTTTCCTCCAACACCTGACATCTCTTTGCAATATTCCTCAGTAGCAGCGGGTATCTGGTTAGCCGCTGCAAAGGTGCCACCAACAGGTCTCGTAGCTGCAGCCTCCGGCACTGTTCGTTCCTCTCACACCACTGAGGAGACAGTGAAAAGGATTCATGAGAGAAAGACGGCACAGAGAAGACAAGCATCTCCTAGAATGAGACACAATGTTGGAAACAAGGGTGCATAGAAATAAAATTTACGTAGGGAAATAACCAGAAGCACATGTCAACAAAAGGCTGACATTCCTCATTAGGAGGACTCTGTGACACCAAATTAAAAGTTAAGATATGCTGCTCGGTGTCCTCACTCATACTTGGCAGAAACTGCCTGCAGTCAAATGTACACTGTGTTCTGGTATTTGCTGACTAACAGAAACAAATCAGCTGTGGCCTGAACTCTGCTGTCTCTTGTACCTTAACGTATGATCCAAAGTCCTCCCTGGACATCAGGTTGTGCAGATAAAGCAGAGCTGAGGAGTAGTTGAGGCAGTACTTCTCCAGGCAGTGACATATGCTCTCCTGGAAAACCTGTCAGCAGATAAAGTGTTGGGTTATCAGCACACGGGCTGAAGATAAATAATCGAAAACAGTAGGTGAAAATGTTATCCTGACGAGCAGATAAATAGAGTGTCTGCTTCTTTCTGTGGTGCATTGTATAACATGAAGTCCATGTAATGACTCACAGAAAGCTGTTGCTGTATCTACAAGTGGAAATTTGGATGGAAGGAAAAAGGGTCATAAAAAAGCAACAAGTATTACTGCAGCTTTGGAGAAACAGTAAAGAAAAACTAATTTAAAAGATAAAAGGGATTTGAGGGTAGAGGCAGGTGTATGCAGGCCATTATTTATGTCATGGTCCTATTGTTAACCTACTCTTAAACAGAAACATAAGAAGCATCTCACCTGTTTTTTATATTTTTTTTTTCAGTTCTCTGTCAATCATTCACTATGGTCATTAAACCAGTGAGTAATACTTCTTGCAGTGTGGGCGGGTATTAGCCTCGTGAGACCATCCTGATCTCGCGAGCAGTCTAAAGAACATGGCGGCTTCAGCCAATGAAACTAGCGTTAGCGTGGCTATCGAGCAAGTTTTATCGGAATTACAGAGTATTTCCTCACTGAAAGAAGAGCAAAACACTGCTCTGGAGGCTTTTCTCAGAGGAAAAGATGTTTTTGCTCTTCTCCCGGTTTCGGCAAGAGTGGCCTGGTTTGTGGTTGTGTTTTCATCGTCGTTAGTGCGTCATATGCTTCGTTGATCTGATTGGTTTATTTGGCCCGTCTATCACCAACATAGGCCAATCGGCTAACCAGTATTTTCGTCCCTTCCCAAAATTACTTCAGCGGAAGGTTTCCAGATGGATATGCGGAGCAAATCCATCTGGCGGAGTCAGGTTAGGCGGGTATTAGGTCCTACTGGAAAATCTAATCAAAATCTCCAAAATGGTTTTAAGAAGCAAGATGCAAAAAATGCAGTAAAAATTTCTGTTTCATAGTTGCACCAATTTTAAACCTTCATCTACATTACTGATGCAGATCATCTATCACACTTTTTTCTTCCACTCAACTTTCCATTAATTAATCACTGTAATCAGCCATCTTCTTTAGGAAGGACTTTTCTTTGGCTTTCCCTCCCTGTGGAGCCAGTTGTTGTGTAATAAAAGTTTTATATATTGTGTGTGTACATTTCTTTTAATTCAAATCCCAACAAAATAATATCAATTTAGCTCAGAAGCACCTGTTTTTCACATATTTTTTTACATTCCTTTAAGAAAACAATAAAGCGGTGATACAGCGGGTTTTGGTTTTAATCCTATCCAGATAGTGCAAACCTGAATTTCAGCCTAAAACACAAAAATAAATGCAGGAGATCATTAGACGCAATCAGTTATTTTATAGAAACATTTTTTGTGTCTCAGTTAGGGCTGGGCAATTAATTGCACTTACAAAAATAGCCATTTTCAAATTACAGAAGCACTGAATTTGGTCATATTACATTTCACAAGAGGGGGGTAAAATGCTTAAAGTGGGTTTGTCGCCCCACAGACGGGAAGAGATTGAGTTAGCGTGCAGATCCATGCATGTGAAAAGAAATAAATGTTTCCACAGTCGACTCTGGGCAAACAGGCATTTAAGGTGATGAGAATAATGAAACATCTGCATGCTTGTGATTTGTGCAAATGACAACACAAGTTACCATAACTATGCAGACGATGCACAGCTGCACATTATTACAGTATGTCATCAGGAGACTATGAACTCATTCAGTTGCTGGGTAAATGCATAGAGGAAATCAATGCATAGAACTGCAAAACATTTCTTAAAAACATGGAGAAGCTGCTTTTAAGTTTGGATGCTCCGCAAATCTGGAATACAGCCAGGATTAAAAACTTACCTGTTTAAAGTAGCCTTTGATGGTGCTTCCTAAACATAACACAACTTTCCTTTTTATTTTTTTATCTATGATTTTATCAACTTACATTTATTATCTTTTTTATTCTCTTTAGATATCCTTGTTATTTTTATGCCCCTGCAATGCGCATTTGTTTGTTTTTTCTCATGAACAGTGCTTTAAAATGTCTTGCAAATGAAAAATGTGATATATTTATATTTGCCTTTGTCGCAAAAGCAAATCTAAATAAAATCACAATTATGATTTTAGTTTGAAGAAAAAATTAGTTTTGATTTAATATAATAGTTCAGCCTTAGCTCAATGAGCCTCCACATGCGAGTCTCACTTGCCTTGCTCAGCAGCTCCAGCAGGGTGGGCCCGCCCCCCTGGGTAATACTCAACATGTTCTTGATGACACGCAAGAGGCTGTTCAGGAAACTATGGCTGACCTGCATAAAAAAAAAAAAAAACAAGAAAAAAAACACAGTGAGTCAGGCGTCAATGCAAGGCCAAGAGACTCTGAACTTTCAGTTGAAAATGACGCAGCAGCTTAAGAGTTCAAACGGGTATTTCTTGACATGTTGATATAGTAATCTATTTAACAGACAAGATTAAATGTCACTTAGCATTAAGACATTTTCTTACATGAAAACATGCTTCAGGGTAATTTTTTTTATTGACTTACTGTCTTAATGTGACAAAACAAAACAAAAAAATCCAAACCAGAGGATTTAATACGTTTCTTTTCACCACCTAAATATATTAACAAGTATACAAGTAAAAAAAAAAAAAGCCGAAACAACCAACTAGGATAAAAGTCTATCACGTTTTTTATCTGCGTTTTGGATCATTTGTGTAACTATTATAAAATGAAACTGAAAAACTCTGCACCTCTAGTCACATTTTATTGCCTTTATTTTTTTCCCCTTCTGCAGCACAAGTTTGTGTGACTCTGTGGTTGTCGTGCTGGAGCAGAAGGGAGAACGGTAAACCTGCTGGTCTGTGATAATGTACATTAATCTATATGTGCAATACAAAGATTTAAGCTCTGCATTTCACTACATTTTTGGAGTAATGTCAAGTTTTGTTTCGTTTTTCACCGGAAGAGACTTGCATGCTCGACGATGAGTTGAGCGCACAAAAATTGCAATTTGGTGAATTCAATACAGTTGCTGACAGCAGAGATGATGCAAACAATTTAAATGAAGAATATTATGCAGTCTTATTTACTTTCCTTTTGTCTTTCCCATACTTGGAAGACAAAAACAGATTTGCATATTTTTTTTTATTTGATTTTTGAAAAGGATCATGCCAAAGTGTAAAAAGCTCCCCCCCAGCTCTTTTACACTTTAGTTTGTGCAAATAAAATTTCCCAACCTTTAAACCCTCGTACTGATGTCTCTGTTAGGAAATGCATCCAGCTGAAAAATGATTTCAACCATGGTGGAATCAGGCATGAGAAGCCACAGGAAGAACACAAGGTCTGAAAACAATGGGTTAAAGTACCACATGTTCATGATATCAAGTTATTCTTTAAACGTGCATCTGAAACATTATCTAACAGTGTTTACTGACAGAGTAAAAATAAATAATTAATGTGCATAGCTGGAATAATTTATTTGAGTCAGTGTTAAGTTCAGAAGTATTTTCATTTATTTAGTTTACAAAATATTTTAGTGTACCTTTCTGCAGCTCTGCTCTTTATTTAATGACAAGTTTAACTAACTGGCATAAATTGGTTAACTAGTTGGGTAATCTGCTCTTGTAAATACCTTAAAGTAATCTGCTTACACTGACCTCCCAAACTTTACTTAATAAAAGTGATGGCTAGGCTCGTGCTCATTCTGTTTGCACATCATGAATCTGTGTGTTTGTCTTCACTGGAACAGCTTTTTTTAGCAATGAAATTAAATTCAGGTTCTCTAAAGGGACAACAACGTTTTTACTTAAAAACATCTTTAAAAGAACCTATTTTTTCGACCCTTTACGACTAAAACAAAATTTGATGAGCAGAATGACTTCCCAGTAGTTCAACGCGGATGCATCTATAAGCCTATTTTCACTGAACTTCCAGCTCAATCAGACACCAATGGTAACTCCATATCAGGTGAAAAAAGTAAAAAAAAAAAAAAAACCCTGTTAAGTTAGAGAACAAGAGAACCGTCAAAATAGTGCAGCAGTTTTGTGTTTTGGCCACAGGTGGCAGTATCATTAGAAAACTCTGTAATGCCTCTTTAGGTCAGATGTGCAATGAGCTGCAGCGGGTAGGGAGAAGAAAGCTCTGCACCAAACCATGTTTAAACAGCCAGAGAAAAACATTCTACCTTGTTCTCTAGTCTCAACATTGGGACATTAAGCTAAATGGCTAACTTTATCTGCTGTACCAGTGGTAAATCTGACAAAGTGGAAAAATTGTAAATCTTCTTTTGGAAAGTAAGCTTGTATGAGCGATGCAAACAGCAACTTTTAAACAGAACATGCATTAGGAGCAGGTATAGGGTTGTGCATCTGCTTTTTTTTTTTTTTTTTTTTTAAGTGGATGGGGTGGGTCTTTTCAAATATTTGCGAATATCCTCCACTATACCTTGAAGTAGCAGTAGGAATTATTGCTACTTCGTTGTTTTTTTTCTTTGGAACATGCATATCTGTTTCAAGTTTTTGTATAAATTCGACTAAAATTCATAGAGCAGGGGTCTCCACCACTGCTCCTTAAGATCTACTGTCCTGCAGGTTTTAGATGCATCCCTGCTGAATGAAAGGAATGGCTTGTTACAAAGCATTTGCCAAACTTGATGGCATGCTGTAGAGCTAATTCAGTTATTTGATTCAGCTGTTAATTAAGGCTCGTGTAGCTTTTTTGCATCATGTCTCACCAGGCAAAGATCTTTCAGGTTTGCAAACAGGCTCCATGGATCAACATCCGTGAGGCAGTTGTTCTCCTGCAGGTTCGTGAGCGTGACAAAAAACACCTGAAAGGAACAAAACAGTCACGTACAGAAAGAGCTAATTGTTGAAATCTGGCATTAAATTTCAAATCCACTGCTTTGGGAAGGAGAACCAGAAGAAAATTATACATGAACCAAACAGGAGAATTCAGAGATGAAGAACACAAAGCAACAGGCATTGGGTTTCATTTGGGTTTGGTCTTCTTGTTTGTGGTCCTGTGTATTTGTGTGGAGCATTGTGAGGCTTTTGAATGGGCAAAGTCACCTCTTTGAGAACAATGAGCCGATCCAGGAAGTAAACGCACTCGCTGGTGAAGAGTTCCCAGATGGCCTCTTGTCTCTTTCGACCCTGAGGGTCAGAGGTAACACCCACCTGCGAGAGCTGATCCTGGAGGAACTCAGCCAGTGAGAAGTCCTGTACAGACAAACAACACAATGATCACAATCAGGGAAGCTGTAGCTTCCTCTGACTTTAATAAAAAAAGTGAGACATTTTCTTTGACTGTAAGTTTCCCACCACCATGGTAAATCATGTGCAGGTCAGTGTTTGTTTATAAACCGGTGTAGGTAGGATCTGATTGGTCGTGTCCTTGAAATTCTGGTTCTTGCGCAACCTGTGTCATTTAAGCTTTGAAAGTTCTTCCCACTAATTGCTGTCATGTCATGTCTTTGTCATTTAGCAAACACAAGGTGGTGTTTAAATTGCAAATCAGAATATCTTTGCAGTTCAAATCTCTCCTGGATTAAACACAGACTAAACCAACACAGTGATGTATTTACCAAGGAAAGAAGCTTTGCCTCTGATGACTTTCACTGCTCACCTTATATTTCAGAATTTCTGCATTTCTCCAGTCTTGAATCTGCACCCCTGAAAGGTATTTTTCAATATCTGATACCGTGCCTGCCTGTGACTTCCCTTTAGTCTGAAAAGGAAAACAAAAGAAAAACCTAAAACTTTCCAATATTCTATTGGAAAACAACAGCTTATTTGCTTATTTTCAGTTTATCTCTTCCAGAAGTGAATTAAGAAGTCTGGCCCAGTTCTGCATTTCAACTGCCTACTGCATATAAAACTGTGACCCAATGGGGATAAGGGGAAACACACTAATCTGCTTTGAGAAGTGGGTCAGAGAACAATGTCCAAATCAACTGACCAGTTCTGTGGCAAAGTACATCAAAACAAACCACAAACCACGTCAATGGACCCAGCCACACACCCAGCAAACAGCACACCTACCGTACTGCGCCTCGAAAAGGGCCACTTTGATTTCTTTGTATCTATAGAAATAAAACACAGAAACAAAGAGTGATTGTGTTTTATTGGTTACAGCCTGAAACAGAAAGATTTATTGACATTGTTTGCTATGTCTGTCTGTCTGTCTGTCTGTCTGTCTATCTATCTGCATACAGTATCTATCTGCGTATCTATCTGCGTATCTATCTATGGATATATATATCTATATATATATAGATATATATATATAGATATATATATCTATATATATATAGATATAGATATATATCTATATATCAAGTATCTACATATACTTGCTTCATCTATCTATTTATCTACGTATCTCTCTGTCTATCTATCTAAAACTTAATTTTGAGCTTTTACCATGCAATATAGTAAAACTTTTGAGACATAAAGGCTTCAAAATATTTAATTCTGTGTGTAAAGAATTTTCCCTTTCTGAAATGAGTGACAACCACTTTTAAATGTTTTTTTTTTTTTTTTTTTCAGAGTTTACAATGGAGCAAATGTAGCTCCAGGGAGATGTCCACAACCTCTTTCCCATTAAGGAAACTAAACCATAGCCAAACCCAAACTTCTCTGTTTCCTGGCTTACATTATCAGCAAACATGGGTGGGTTATGGTCAAGCCTTTGGGAATCAAGACTCAAATTGTTAAAACATTGACTCATAACAAGACAAATTTAATTAGAGGGCAGATTTTATGGGTTTTATAACCTGGGATCATAACAGGATCAATCAGAAGAACATATAAAAGTATAATCCCCATAAATGAGGAATTTTACCAGTGAGGTTTGAATCATTGATCATGTCTGCGGCTCCGTTAGACACAAACAGGTCTCCGGGTGAGACATCAAGTCCAGGTAAACTGACCACCACTGAGCTACGCCTCCTCTCATGAACCCTGAAGAGGAAACATGAAGAGATTTGAATTTTGAACAGTTTTAACATGTTGAGATTCAAATAATAAAAAAAGGCTCTTAATGGCTCAAAGCTGATTTAATATCTGAGGATCCATTTTTATTTCTTTGTTTCCACATAGATCAAAAAAATGGAAACGGAAACAAAGCATTGATTTACAGTATGTGGTAAAAGCCTGGACACATGTATGAAAGAGTTTCCTTTGGTTTAACCCTATAATGCCAAATGTATCGTATTTGATACATACGGTTTCTGAAATGTTTTAATGGTAAAAACTTTGCTCAAAATCCTATTGTACACAACAGATATACAGACAGTTAAAAGGCCAAATAAGGAATTCAAAAAAAAAAAAAGTAATTTTCTGTTTTGTTCTATTCTTGGATCGGGCTTTAAAGGGTTAAGAACAAAGGACAAGGACAAATGTTAAACATTTCAAAATATGCCCCCTTGCTAAATCCCACCATTACAGACTTATAGGTATATGAAGGATGTAAATAAGCTCAGACTGTTAAAGCAGGGCTTAAATAACAGAATTCCTTTTGTCATTTCATGAGGAAGAAATGTCCCTGAAATATCTGCTTTGTGCAGATAAACAGTGATTAATGTGAGTAGCAGATTTTATGGAGGATAAGTGTTATGTGTCTGGCTCATGCATGGACAGCTGCCGATTAATGTTGTTGTCGAAGGAGACAAGCTGTCAATGTGTGCCAGTTGTAATCCTCTCAGTCTTCTTTTCATAGTCAGTAACTGAGGCATGACTTTGGTTGGAAAAAACAGGCCTGTCTTATAGCCTGGGGGCAAAGCTCACACTGTTCTAAAATGTTATAACTTCTCTATTGCCTTACGTTTGGGATTACGGTCCTGGGTGAAAATAAATCTAAAATTAGCAGCTGAGGAATATGATTATGTGACGGATTGCAACATAAGATAAGCCAGCGAAATAACTATAGAGGGCAGGGCTATGGGGCGTCTCATTTATTAGAAATTCAATGAGTCTACACCTTGAAGAACTTGAATGTGAAGACGCCAACTAACAATCGCAATTAAAATGTGCCAGCCCTAACAGGAGACAAGCAGCTACTAAATATGGCCACAGTCGGTTAATAATTAGATGCACCACTTCCACCTCAGTTTAAGGCTGAATTTCCCAGGCGAATGGATGTACAGACATCCACGTATACCACAGAATAACACCTTGTTACCATTTCAAAGGGGCTAACATTTCCATACCATTTTTACAATTTTACTTGCTTCATATGAGATGTCAGAGAAAGCACCGACGGGACGGAACCAGCTTTTATTTCTTTTTTTTACAGCTGCATAGAGAAAAGAGTAACAGAGGTTCCCCTCCCCCACCTGTTGCTCCACACTACTGCTTAATTGCTTAAACACAAGATACATATTTTTTTTTTACAGGATAACTGCACAAGCAGACAGCATAACAAAACAAAGCTATTAGCTTAGCCAGTTAATAATAATAGTAATAACTTGAATCGTTTTTATAATGAGAAGAATGGAAAAAAGTACATTTTTTTAACTATAACTAGTTAGATTACTTTTTAATCTAACTGAAATTTAATTTACAGGTTTGCTTACCTTTTAAAAAATTATAAAACACTAGCTTGTGTTAGAAAAGGATCATCGAACAGGCATGGCATGTCTTTTTTATGCAAATACTAACTATGGGTTATCATACCGTGTGAACATTGACCATCCGCTAACCTACTTTCAGCATGTTCACATTGACCAAAAGGGGTATCCTATTCATTTTGGATATGATACAGATATTGCAGCTTTAAGTATTGACCCAATAAGATATCAGCATTAATTATACATACTTTTAGTAAACATTTAATAGTGTGGAGTTATAGTAAAGTTTCACAGGTATGTAAGCATAAGCTTTAAACAAAAGTGGATAGAAGTAAAGTGTTTCTGTGAGTTTTCTAATATCAGGGATTTAAGAGGCAGGCTGATATATATATATATATATATATATATATATATATATTCTAATATGCAGCTTTTTGTTATTATCGGAACAATTTCATACATTAGCATCGGATCGGGACTTCCCTGCTGACCAACAAACAGCTCTGACCAAATCAAACCTAATTCCATCATTTCAAGAATTTGTTTTTTTTTGTACAGTTGAACTTTTACCAGATTTTTGATAGTTTTTTTTTTTGAGTCTGCTAATTATTTACCCAGTTAATATTTCCATAAAAAGCATACTGTGTGGAGTAAATATGTAAATGAATATATTTTCCACGTCATCTATGAGCACAAATGGGGGATATAAATGTTTCGATGTTTATGCAACTGCAAAACCCTGGTGCATCAATAATGATACAAAGCTAAGAAAATTCCTAATTTCTTTTAAAGAAATATAAATAATTTTTTTACGGGAGATATTTTTTCAACTCCTCTTTTTAGTTTATCAAAATTTAAAGTTCAGGGATAAGAAATGGCTATGGCATAAAACTAAAGTCCAGTTCAGATGGAAAATATTAAAGCAATAGTTGAGTCCTATTGTTCACTAAACAATGTGCACAGATCAAGACCTTTTGTATATGTAACAACAATGAACCATACTTTATTTCTCATTTAAGGAAGCTGCGTAGAAACAAGGAAGAGGCTTGCAGGAGAGGAAGCAGAACTGTGTATAAGCAGGCCATAAACAAACTGGCCAAGGCAGCTAAGAGAAGTTACAGCAACAAGCCAGAAAAATCTTCTCAGCTAAAAACTCCATAGCGGTTTAGAATTGACTGGAAAAACAGAACTACTTACATCCCCCCATTCTGAGCAGGATCCTTGGCTGACAGATGACTTTAACAGCTTCTACTGCAGGTTTGAAAAGCAAGTGTTCACACCCATCTACTTGTCCACATCTCACTCTGACACAAAAACTCCCCATGCACCAACCACCCGCCTCTCCTTAGACCCCCCGCCTAGACTAAAGGCCACAGAGGAAGATCTGAATGGGCTCTAAAGCCCAAGACCCATCGTTTGTGGCCAGTCCTTCACGCTCCAATACATTGAGTTATTTTTTGTCACTCTGGCTGTGAAGAGGGTTCCTCCACAGCAAGACTGGGGAGCATCTTCACCTACGCAAGAAGTTTTACCTTCAAAGTTGGGGCTACTATTTGCAAAACCAAGTCAATGCAGAGACAGTTTCTTTCCTGAGCTAGTCACTGCCATTCAATTCAATAATTATTATTATTTACCACCAATTCACAATATATGTCCTAACCATGCACTTTATAAAGACAACTCCTTAAAATGATACAGGATAAGGAGGATAGAATTTGACCACTACATTTAACTGTTCCCTTAGGGAGCAGTGGTGAAATTTGAGCAGGCGGGAAGCAGTCTGGGGCTAAGGATCTTGCTCAGGTACAGAGAGAACATATCCAAGGGAACCCAGCTGCCTACTGTACATCCAGTCATTGACGTTGCAGTTTTTGCTTCTCATGGTTGAATATGTAGCGACAGCAGACATTAGCTTGCACTGTGTCGTTGACTCTGCAGAAATCCCTCACACTGAGCATGCATGAAGCAACAGTGGAGAGGAAAAACTAACTTTTAATAGGAAGAAACCTCCAGCAGAACCAGGTTAAGTGTGAGCGGCCCTCTGCCAAGGCAGACTGGGAATTAAAAGATACTGATGAATACTTACAAAAGGAACAATGAGGCACTGATCCAGTGATGCTGAGACTGGGCAATTAACAGTTTTGATAACTTAATTTGCTGTTAATGAAGATCTCATATTAGGTCAGTCTATTTTTTCTACATAATTTGTTTTTTCACCCTCCTTCCCATGTCAGTTATTCAAAGTCACACCACTCTATCACTTTTGGCTCTTGAATGTGTTCTCATACCTGATAGAAAAGCTGACTGTTAGGTAAAACCTTTCATGTGTTTTGTTTTCATTGTTTAATGCCAGGGCCTGACAGCTGCTTTTACAAATATGTTATACAGCTTGGATTTAGCCGTACCTTGAATTCCATTTAACTTCCACAAAGAGTGGTCGAAAGAAGAGCCAAGTTTTTAACATATAACTTAATCTCATAAAAAGAAAGCGGAAAAAATCGTATCAATTTTACCACGTCTTCCTCTTTTCTAAAAACCCTTAAAATATTTTGCTGCACTTGCCTCCCTGCATGAGTGCAAAGTGGAAGGGAAGTAAAATTCCTTGCTTTGTTTTCACAAACTTGGCAAATAAAGCCGTTTAAAACTGTTATTATGATTATAAACATTTACTGACTGAAATCATCACCCAACAATAGGCTATTGTAGACGTTTTAGTTCAGCATTTTTAATGTCAGCTATTGTATGCAAAAACAAAGCGTTAATTTTTTTTCCTCTTTTAGTGCATAGCACTGGCATTCAGTACAGTGGCTGCACTTTTGCAATTGCACCCGTATGTCTGCACAAGCAGTACGTGACATTATTTGAGAGCAGCTGTAATCTGGATGTCTGCAGAGCTAACTCTAATGTTTTGGAGGTTTAACTAGTGTGCAGACAAACTGAAAACAGAAGTAAAGTTGTACTTTATTCCTCCAATGTGCTTATATTGAATTGTGAAAGCCCCAACTGTTTCTTTCTCTCACTGTTCTTCCTGGTAAACTGATAAACGCCCCCCACCCATCCCCGGCTCCAGCTCAATGCATGCAAATAACAGATGGTAGCTGGCATCAGTACCTGAACACCGCCTGGTTCTATGGGACAGTCAGAAAGGCCAGATTGCCTCTAAACCAGGTCAGTCCCTCCTCGTGGTTTGTTCCAAAACCTCCTCACAATGAGGTTCTGTTGCCTTGTGTTCATGCAGAAAGCCTCTTCTATACCAGCCTTTATCAGCAAAGAGCACTTGCCTGTTTTGTCTCTGATATAACAAGAGAAAATAATGATGTTCCAAAACAAAACTGCCCCAACCGACAACTTGCAGCGCCCGGACACTGTCCCAGGCACCGTGCCAGGGTGTAATTAATGGGACAAAAGCTGCCTAATTATCCAATGTGGGGAAGAGCCTTGCCCCCCCTCGCCGCCATTAGGATGGGCGTGGGTGGCGATGAAGGAAAACAGCTTTAATGAGGGTTTGTCTAGCCCGAATATAACCATGGGACTCTCAAAACTTAACCCACCGTGCTTATCAAGCGTTAACAAAGACGTGAAGGACAATGAATACACAGAAGGGCCGCTGAAGCTAAAGGTCCAATCAGAATCCTGGGATCGGGTCATAAAAACTTTGATGTGATGGAGCTTAGTTTCCTGTTTTCTTTCATTTGCAGATCAATTATTTGCCAAAAAGCAGCACAGCATCGTCATGGAAACAGGAGGTGGCTACTAGGGTCAGCTTAAAGAAAAATGTGAGCTCTGTGCCGATGTCAGGAAATTTTACTACATTACTGATAAGCAAATGGGTTCCCACACATTAGAGGAGTACTTTGCTGGTGTGCAAACAGGCCAAATAGACGACACATGCAAAACTGGGATGATGACAATATCACAGGTAAAAAGCTCCTACCTTTGATGGCATCGTTCTGTCTCCTGTGGGGAAAGAGAGAAACTTTATTAGACCTGTAAGCTTTAAAAAGCAGTAGAAACTGAGCATCTAAAGGCCTTCTTGCGCCAACATCACAACTAGATCACTTTCAAAGACACCGGAATCGGAATCAGTGTTTTAAGTGGTTGCTTGGATTCAAAAGCCCTCTACATTGTGGGGAGACTGTCGACACTCTATTGAAAAAGCGCCCGCCTGGAAACCACGACCTGATGAATAGATCTGCCCATTATCTTTTGCCAATCGCTCACTGACCCCTCCATTATTGGGTGACTGCTGATTGCAGTGAATGGGGGCCTGAGGAGAGCACTTCCCAGGGCTCTTCAGGCGGTGGGTTTGGTCAGAGCTGTCAGTGCATGTAACTGCTGATTCATTTGCTGTCAAAAGCTTGCATTGTGAGCGACCGCTGCAGGAGGGAAGGCAGAATGAGGCAGAGAGGGCTTCTGCAAGTGAGGAATGTCTACCTATTTAATATATTTAAGGCCACACACTGGGGAAGAATGGCCCAGAGATGTTAGATTGAAGTGTATAATTAGTGGATGAGACACTATAATTTATGTTTCAATTATATTTAAATGGATATCAAGAAAACACTTACCTGTACTTCTACCCCGGACGATTTCATTAGAGCAGAATCCGCACTGTAGCCTTCCAGTTTGGTGGATGGGATACCATTTTCAAATGTCTTTGATCTATGTGATCTGGTTCTCTGTCGGCCAGACGATGAAACTGACTGAGGTTCTTTACTATTCTCTCCATCGGATGAAGGGTTTGTTGCTAAGGGAGATTTGACTCTCTGTACAGGAGAGAGGGGGCTTAAAGGGGAGGACTCCTCCTGAGTGCTCCCCATCCTGCCTGATTCCAGAGGATCAATCACAGGACGTCTGGTGCTCCTCATCCTCCTCAAGGTGGGAGATGTAGAGATGCGCCCCGGAGCCTGGCGATCAAACTGGAACAAAGGCGCCACCAGGCCCTCGGTGTCCATCAGAGAAAGGTGTCTCAGTTTGGAGTGTGTCCGGGTGAGATCTATGTGCATTATGACGGGGCTGCTGGTCTGACACTCCTTGTGCTCAAAAAGCCCCGAGTCCGTTTGGGTTTCTGCGTCTGCGACTCCTGTCGTGACAACTTCATTGTCAGCCCAGTCGCTGATGTAACTCCAGTCCAGCTTCTCATTGTCCTGGTCTTTATCCTGCAGAATAACGTGCTTCAGCGTCGACATTGTAGCCTCAAAGGCATTATTACAGTGCAGCTGACATCGGAGAACAGGTAATCTTACAGAGCGATCACTTTGAGTTCCCTCAAGGTGATGTCAGGTGATAATCCTGGTGTACTTTCGCACCATTCAAGTCTCAGATTTCTGGAGGAAAAGCGAAAAGGTTTCTAATTATTTTCATACAAAAAGCCATCAGTAATCGGAAAAAAAAAATAAAACAGCATCCAAGGATATGACATTTAGAGAAATGATTTTTAAGGTTTTGTTTACAAGAACAAAACATCAACAACATGCTCTTCTAAATAATCACTTAAGTGATCAAACCCCCTCATAATTGCAGACCAATGGTCAGCAATGGTATTTATGACATCTTATAGTGTAGATAAGCTCCAATACCTTTAATCGACGGCCTCATTGCCATCACCCTAATCTTTAAACTCTCTCCACAGATCAGTCAGAAGGAACATATCAGGCTGAGTGTTTCCCTTTCAATCTACTTACAACTGAAGTTCATGGAAAATTGACCGGAAGTAAACCCTAAAAAATAAATGCTGGTGAAGCTTCTCAATCATCCAGGTCATAGTCATTCCCTAAAAAAAGTTTTTAAAAAAACAATCCACTGGACTTTTCAAACTTGGAAACAAAATCCAGGGATTTTTTTTTTCTTCCTTTTTCTTGGAATGCCTAAAAAATAAATATTTATAAATAAAAAGGATATCTGCACCGGAAACACAGCAGCCTGTAATGATTATAACATTGTTATTCTTTCTCCCAAAGGCTCCAACCATACAGTCGGTTGTTAGTATACTTATAAAGCTTGCTTTACTTTATTTTATTTAGATATATTATATGCATATTTATTTTTGTTGCAAGTCAGGTGCATTTTATAATATCCAACAAAAGAGCGCGTAAAACCACAAACTACCCTCCTTAGTAATATTTCTGCTATGAAATCCGCACCTGTTTGGGAAATAAGGTGAACAATGAATCAACTTTAGTTGACTTACATGAAGCGGCGCAGCTGCGCCTCCACTCCGGCGGTGGAAAGTGGAGAGCGGCGAATTAAGCGGCAGGTGGACTGGGGGAAAAAAGTCTGGAGAAAGTATCCGAGTTGTTTCCTTTGTTTTTGTTTGTTTTGTTGTTTTTCCAGGATGGAGCCACATAAAGAGTGAAGGGAGATCTTTATTCCTCTGTGAGAAGGTGGGAAAGGTGCGCCTGCTGCGCGCCTCCAGCCTGGGAACATCAGGCGTCCCTCCCTCCTTCAGCGACACCAAGCAACGTCACCGGCTGCCTGCCTGGAACAATGAGGCTGCTCTGACTGCTGCTGCACACTGCTGTCATGTGAGAGGAAAATTAAACCCCGGATGCCTTTGCCTTCTGAATAATGACATACTATACAGTTATCATTTACATTTCATAAAACAGTTACAGCAGAGCGACAAAAAAGTGTTTACAAGCTGATTTCACTTTTATATTCACTTTCAGTCAAAGACTGTAATATATATGAAAACATTTAACCTAAATTTAAGATGTGTGTAAATTTCATTACATAACAAATTACCATTTCCTTTTTTTTTTTTTTTTTTTTTTTTTTTTTTTTAGATAATTTAAACACAAACCTAATAAATAAACCTTACATGATTTATATTTATTGGCATAATAAAGATTATTAATTAACAAAATCATCAGGTTTATTTGTAATTAAAAAGCACACTTACTTAAAATTGGTACTAAATAGTGCATGTGTTTAAAATACATTGTTTATTGTTTGAATTGCATGAAGGTAGCCTGGTTATAATACAATTCAAACAGTAAACTATGCATTTGAAGTACACTTGTTAATATTGATTTTGAGTAACTTTATTAATACTAAAGGATTAGGTTTTTCAATTAAATAAGCCTTATTATGCAAGTAAAGATTATTTAATAGGGTTGTGTTAAAATTACCTTTTAAAAAAAGTAAAAAAAAAAGTTTTACAAAAAAATCCAAAAATTACAAATCTGATAGATGATCCACAGACGGTGAAATGTGCTGGCATCTCCATCATAATCTTGCGGTTACTTTCTCTCAGATGGAGTTAGATATTTTCTCAAGATGAATAAACAGTTTTAGACACTATTGCAAAATCTAAATGTGGCTTAAAATCTGCACATGGAGAGAAATTTAGTATTTTGATTAAGCAATGAGTCCAAGCACCTAACATAAAGCAGGGGTATTATGAGGAGAAAGTTATATTTTAGTGTCCTCGATTGACATTATCCAATTAAAGAAGACCAACACTAACAGATCAAAATAGTTTTTTTCTTTTTACATCTTTCAGTTGAATTATAGGGGACTACTTTATTTGTCACAATTGGAGAAAAATGTATTTAATTTATTAATCAAGGCATCTTAACAGGTATGTATTCACTTTGAGAGCCTCTATCTGTCCATCCAGCCATCTGTTTGGATATCTATTTGTATAATTTTCAAGCTTGCCAGTTATAACTTTGATGTTTTATGGATTTTTAGAATTACTTCAGAAACAAGTATGTGCATATACTTAATGACTTCAGAAATGATTCAGAAATGATTTAAAAATGCAGCAATTAAACTCCAATAAAGTAGAAGAGTGATAATGAAGCACTGTACTTTGTACTTTAACTTTGTTTTGAACATGATGACGTGTAAAGATGTCACTTGCAGCAATATATAATCTAATCTTCGTGCCAACATTAAATTAGCTTCTATCTATGATGGGTGTTGTAAAAAAACAAATGGGTCTACCGGAGCTTTATGTCACTTTCTTAAAAGAGACCCTGAGAGTATATGGGCCTATTATTTATTCCAGTTTTAGAGGAATGACTCAGATTATCACATTTTTATGGTCACGTATATGAGTGGCTTACTGGGACACCCACAGTCCCAAACACTGGAAAATCTCTAAAATAACAGTGTGTATTGTGTTTGTAGTTAAAACAGGTGGGGAGGTTAAGCAGCTCAGACTTGCAACTTGGATGACTGCATGTTTTTCACAATTTGATACAGAGCGCCCCCTGCTGGTACGGTGGAAATCACAAAATCCATTTCTTCTTCTGCAATACCAATGAAGTTAATATTTATCATTTTAAGTTTTTATCTCTATAAAATGAGGAGCCCAGCATATGTTTTTTTGTTTTAATATAGATCTGGGTCTGAATGTTATACTTTATTTTTGATACCTGGTATGTTCCCTGTAGCAAAAAAACATTTTACCAGAGCCTGGCACACCTGGAGGAGAAGAACACCCACGTGCAGATGCTGTTCCTGGACTTCAGTTCAGCTTTCAACACCATCATCCCACAGCATCTGATGGGCAAACTGGAACAGCTGGGCTTCAATACACGCCTCTGCAACTGGCTGCTAGACTTCCTCACCAACAGACCTCAGTCAGTCTGGGACGGACAGAACACCTCTGATGTCATCACCGTAATCACAGGCCCCACTCAGAGCTGCGTCCTGAGCCCCCTGCTCTTCACTCTGATGACACATGACTGTGTCCCCAGGTTCACCACCAATCACATCATGCGGTTTGCAGACAACACCAAGGTGGTGGGCCTCATCAGAGACGACAACGACCAGGACGACAGAGAGGAGGTGGAGCAGCTGGTGGACTGATGCAAAGATAACAACCTGATCCTGAATGTGGAGAAAATGAAGAAGATCATTGTTGACTTCAGGAAAAATCGGACTGATATCACTCCACCTGTGGAGGTGGTCAGCAGCACCAAATTCCTGGGGGTGCACATCACAGACAACCTCACCTGGACTATGAACACCACCTCACTTGTCAAAAGGGCACAAAAGCGCTTGTACTTCCTGCAGAGGATGAGGAGAGCCAACCTGCCTCCACCCATCCTCACCACCTTCTACAGAAGCACCATAGAGACTGTATGAGGGGGCTGCAGTTCCGCAGACTGGAAGAAAGTGAAAAGTGTAGTGAGAACTGCAGAGAAGATCATCGGGGCTCCTCTTTCCTCCATAAAAGTCAATTCATCCCAGGGCATAACATCATCCCCACCACTGTTCTGCTGCTGCCCTCTAGGAAGATGTTTAGCAGAATTCAACGCAGGTCCAGCAGATTCTGAAACAGCTTCTTCCCCTGACCTCAGAGTGCTGAACTGTTGAAATAACACTAGATCATGTCTTAGACTCTGCATCAACCTGACCATAAAACATGTTTTTTCTCCCTCAATGTTTAGTTTGTATCACTGCTGCACTTAAGAAATGGAAATGCCATGAGAGCTGTGAAACACATAGCTTTGTTTTGTATAAACAAGAGTGTATACAAAATGACAATACAGTTTGTCTAAGTCTAAGTCTATTTACCAACTTGTAGCAGAGTGTTGGTTGTTCTGCTTCCAAAAGACAGCTCTTGGGGAAAGTATATATTGGGGTGAAAAATCCCTGACAATATTTAGAGCTGTGTCATTTTAACGGCTGAGAGGCAGATTAAACACAGAAGAAGGAAACAATTATTAAACATCTCAGCTGTTCTGCATGACCCTCCTGTCTGATTTACTGGAACAGGATCGACATTAAGATTAAAACTTTGGTTTCTGTGGGGACCACCGGGTGAGATCATCAAGGATTTGCACTTTGATGAACTTTAGGGTTTCCATTCTTTATACCCTACAGATGCTGTTGCTAAGCGATCAGAGATTATCTCCTTAGTTTTATTGATCTTGGCATTAATGAGGGCAAATAATTACCAGGATGTGCCATATGCTGACAGTCTTATGCGTATAGTAGTTTTAAAAGTTTTATTCAGGAGAGAAGGTTAGATTCAACACATTTTCTATTCATATCCATGTGCTATTCTTTTTTCCTTTATAGTGAAGATTACACATTTAGCTTTAAGGAAAAATAAGTTATAGTATTTTAAAATAATTAAAGCTAAATTATGTGGTGTCTAACATTAAGATTATGTTTTCTTAGGGTTATTTCTGTTATTTTAAATAATATGTATTGTAAGAATCTGACTCAAAATGTAAAGACAACCAGTTAAACCCATTGGATTTAGTTTTTTATTTTTACATTTTCAGATTATCAGGGATTACTATCTTGGCACTGCCGGCAAATTATCTTTGAAAAGAATAGAATTAAACTTTTATTGTCATTACAATGTCACAAGTAGTAGAGTACTAACTTTCTGCAGTTAACCTATTCCCTTGGGGAGCACTGGGCTGCCACTGTGCGGCGTCCGGTGAGCAGTCTGGGGTTAAGGGTCTTGATCAGGGGCCCAGAGTGGCAGTCCGTGGAAGTGTGTGGGGCTTGAACTTAGAACCTCATAAACCCAAGTGCAACGCTCTGACCATTAGGCAACCACTTCCCCATGAGGCAGGCCTGGTCTAAACAAAATCAACTAACATGTCAAGGCAAAAAATAAATAAATATTATAACCCATATAATATTTACATCAATAACACAATTACAATTGAAACCAGAATTTTACTTACATGCACTATATAAAAAGACATACGGTAGACATTTCTTTCGCTCACAATAAGTAAGTAACACAATCTGAATAACCTTCTCCTACTTTAGGTCTGTTATTTTTTATTTTCTAAATGCTAGAAGAATGAAAATATAAAATTTCATAAATACTTTCTGCATATTGAGAATTGTTATACACACTAAGATCACCATGCCTTTAAGCAATTTGGGAACGCCCAGATGATGATGTCATTTCTTTGGAAGCTTCTGACAGGTTTATTAACAGAGTTTGAATTGATTTAAGACACCTGTGGAGGATTTAAGGACACACCTAAAACACTATATGGCTGTGTTTGATTTCAGCAGCTGCATCCTCTAAAGGACCCAGCCGTGAGAATGAGGAGGCCAGAGGAGTTCAGCTATAGATTCAAACAGGTCCAGCTTTCTCCAAGTGTCACTGTCCCTCACTCAGCTGAGCTTTGTCGCCAATTAGCCGTCATAGTTGCCTGCACAAAGCAGGCAAAGAATTGATTCCCACAGTCTCACTACTGTTCTGGATGCTAAGTTCACTTCTGAGGAGCTTTAGCAGCAGTACCGTCATTGCAGATATCAGATTTGTAGTCCCCACAAAGCACAGATATTGGAATCTGGTATTAAATGTCAGCCAAACATTACCCACAACATACCTGACTCAATAACCATTTAAATGAACTATTTCATAAATTTAAGAAGGAAATATTCACATACTCGTATTGTCATCATCACTATTCGTTGCCATTCACCTCTGAGTACAGAGGAGCTTGAACTCACAATGAATGAAGGGATACACAAGGC